ACTCCAAACGAAATCGACGATGCAGTTCAAAATTTCACAGACTTCATCCAATCAGTTGCTTGGAATTCAACCACTTTGCATAGTTATCATAAAAATTATTTTTCAATTCCCACCCATATTCGTGAACTAATTACACTGAAACGTCGAGCTAGAGCCCGTTGGCAACGCTCTAGACTACCTTCAGATAAAAATATATTTAATAATCTTGCTTCAACCCTCAAAAATATACTTAATAAACTGAAAAACGATTCTTTCCATAACTGGGCCACATCACTCTCAGTAAAAAATGGTTCACTATGGAGGGCAACACGCAATTGCCTTAAACAAAAAAACACACAATCTCCATTAAAAATGCCATTGGTAATTGGTGTAAGGCCGATAAAGAGCAAGCCGACACCTTTTTCTCACACCTCTCTAAAGACTTCCAACCACACAGCATCATTGGCAATAACATTCTTGAAAAAGATATTGAAAACTCTCTCTCTTCTGCTCTACCACTTTATCTCGCCCCCAAATCATTTTCTCCAGGTGAAATTAATTACTGTATTAAACATTTCCTCTTAGAAAGTCCTAGAAGGACCTAAGCTGCCTCAAGAAAGCCTCTCCACCTTTCCCTGTTGAATGATTATTCAACCGACGTATTCATATCCACCAATTTAATGTCCCTCTCCATAGCATCATTTCATCTCGTTCGCGGTCTACCCAGTGGTCGTTTTTTTATATTGTTGCAGTTATGACCTTTTTTAGTATCATTTTAGTATTATCTTCAGTTCTCCAAACGTGTCAAAACCACTCCATTCTCTTGGTTTTTTTATATGTTAGTATAGTTGGTTTTCCATACAAATGTTACAAATTTTCGTTTTACCGCATTTCGAATGTTCCTAGATCGAGATTGTACACCGGGCCAAAAATTTTTCTCAACACCTTTCTCTCAAATATCGCCAGTTTTTTTTTTATCACCTTTCGTCGTAGATCAAGTCTCATACGCGTAAGTGACTATTGGTCTCAGATAGTTAACGTAAAGCAATGTTTTCGATCTTTTTAACAACAATTTAGACTTCAGTAGCTTTTGGATGCTATGGTAACATCGTTTTCCACTTGCTAATCGTTCAACTATTTCCTGATGCATATCATTTCTACTGTTTATATCCACGCCCAGATATTTAAAGCTTTCTACTTTCTTAAATGTGAGATAATCTACTTGTAGATTAGGCTGATCCTCTCCTCTCCTAAAAAGTACCATAAATTTTGTTTTTTCTTCGTTAATACAAAGTCCCATTCTTTTGCTGGCTGCCAAAAAATTAGATATCGCCTGGACGACATCTTGATTGGAATTTCATCTGCAATATCATCTGCATACGACAGTATTATTTCTTTATTTACCACCTCTACTTGATGACTATGACTTAGTTCTCGTATCACCTTTTCAAGTCCTAAATTTAATAGGGTAAGGGATAGGGCATTTCCTTGCCGTAAACCCGAGTTTACTTCGAAGGTTGATGACAATTCTCCCAAAAATTTCACTTTACATTATGTTTTATTATTGCACAGTTTTACTATATTAACGTATCTTTTTGGTATCCCAAAGTAGATCAAAGTGTTCCATAACTCTTCCCTATTTATACTATCGTACGCTTATTTATAGTCGACAAATACCATGTACAGGTCTTAGTCGAATTCGTAATGTTTCTCCATCACTTGTTTTAAAATAAATATAATATATTATTTAAACGAGCTATTATATTTGTATCTGGCCACGACAACCGGTTCCCTCCGATAACGTGCCGATGGGGAAATTACCTCGAACTTTCTGTCGGCGCACTTTATCACGTTGGAATTATTTTCTGAGGTGTCACTTGCAACCAAACAAGCTGGTTGTGCGGATTAGCTGTACCGTCCTATATTTTGTGTGTGTTTAGTTCTTCCTTTTGAAGACTATCATCGCGTAACCGTGCAAACACCGTACCGTCTCCCACGTTCTCGTCATTATTATCTCGTTTATTATTTAAAATAATAAAATTTATTAATTAATAATTACAATTTTTAATAAAATTAAAATATTAAAGTATGGGAATTAAAAATGTATGATAAAATGTTGATTTTTATTTGTTGGATATTGTTTATTTTTCAATTTTTACATTAAAATTACTTGTGCCGGCTCCATGTACATGGTGGAGATGGTCAATGGTGAACCAAAGGAGGTGCTTAGGGGTGCTAAGCAACCCTTCAGTTAATATCTTCAGAAATATATATGAATTAATTAATAGATATATTTTCTAGAAAAAAAAAATTAATTTTTAAAATAAACGCATTATAAACATAATTAAGAAAATGATAAATAACAAAAAATTATAACTTAGTTTGTATTTTAAAAAAGTAATGTTGAATATTTATTTATTTACTTTGGTAGTAGGAGATAAGCATCCCCTAGTTTTTTAATCTGGATACCCCGTTAAATATGGTTGTCTATTATGCATGATTAGCATTGACGTATCTAGGATTTTTTTCTATGAGGTCATATAACCATAACTATTTTGTACATTTGGAGCCAAGGGGACAAATATCTTCTGGGAGGACAAATATCTTCTAGGATGATCTTGTTATCATACTTTTCCAGTTTCCATAAAGTGCACTTTTATATAACATGATTTTATTTAAAACTATACCAACATTAATAATATTATTCATTTATTTTCATAATAAGTATAAGTTAGATCACAAAATAATGTCAAAATTCTGTTCACCGATCGGTTAATTTTAAACGAGACACGATTACACGAAAGGACTGAGAGCAAATGTGAACACTGAACACATGGTTTACGCACTATCGCTAATTAAATAATCTCAGATATAATTGATTAATAGATATATAAACTAGTGCTGAGCACCAAATCCGGATCAATCCGATGTACGGATTACCGATTTGGATTGAAACAAATGTTATAATCCGTTTAATCCGGATTATGATATAAATCCGGTTTATTTCAAATTTACTGTATATAAATTTTAAATAACATTAATATAAACATTAGGTGAAAATTTCAAGTATTTAATCTTGTTATCTTCATGGGTTATTCTATTATCGCGTGTGTTGTTATAGTTCAGAAGTGCTATAAATAAATATTGTGTTACGTTCTACGGTATTATCCGATATCAATTGTACTTTTATTAATATTTAATAATAATTTATACATTATAGACTGTTGTAATAAATATTAAATGTATTATGTATAATGTATAACAATATTATGTACTCATTAGCCTGAATTTCTACAGCTCTTTAAATATACTAAGATTTATGTAGAACCCAGGTGTATTTGCTATTAGGCGTCTTATAACATTGAGTCGATTATCAATAGATCTGAGATCGTAATTCGTATTTTTAAGTTGATAATAATGAAAAAATAGCTGATTATCTCAAAAACAATGAAGCCGGATTGGATCCGAAATCCGAATCAACGGATTAAATCCGTGAATCAGAATAAAACGGATTGATTCGAAATCCGGATGAAAAAATAATTATAATCCGTAATCCGGATTGGTAAAAATAATGCTCAGCACTAATATAAACTAACTATGAACATTAGGATATTAAACTATAATAATAATATTAATAATTCATCATAAAATTATCCAATGTTCACGATTTTCTTGAAACTAATAATAACTATATTGTCTACAACTGTTTTGTCTATTATTAACTTTTATTGATAACGAACTGATGGAATACTAAGAAATACTAAGAACCATTACGGACTTAGGCCGAGCGCCCACCAAAGTAACGTGACATGTGGCGTGGCAAGTGAAGTAGCAAGTAGCATGCATCTAGTATGCTATTTTGTATCAAAACAATGTAATTAATAGATTTAACGCCAAATAAAGTGATACGACTGTGATATGACAAACTACATGTTACTTCGGTGTCATTCAAATGCAGCATGTTCCATTTTTTGCCACGTGTTACGTGTTTTTACCGACTAGAGTGACAAGTGTTTTGAAAAATATTGTTATTTTAATTATTTTATTAATTTTCTAACTTTTCTTTTCATAATTTTCTAAATTAAAAATGAAAGACGATCCAGATTTTAACATACATTTTGTTGGTGTAATTAACATTGTTATTAACATTGATTAAATTTACTAAAGCCAAAAAACTTTCGTCATCCGATGAAGAAGAAGACATATTGACAACTGGTGTTACTAGTTTCTAGATACATAGGTAGGCGTTGTGTCACACCATTCGTCATTTTGTTGTTACGTGTTTGCTATATCACTTGCCACGCCACACGTCACGTTACTTTGGTGGGCGCTCGGCCTTACGGCTCAAGCTAGTGATGGGCAGAAACGACTATTATTCGGTTTTCATTACGTACTACCGACTATTATTCGACTAATATTTTGCACGACCAGCTATATACAAATAATAATAATTAGTCGAAGAATAATAATAACTAGTCGAATAATAAAAATTAGTCGAATAATAATAACTAGTCGAATAATAAAAATGTTCGAGTAACTAAATTAGTCATTTGATACTACCGACTAAGTCGGTAGTTATTAGTCACTTTTGCCCATCACTAGCTCAAGCATTTAAAAGAAAAATAAGAAAAGTGAAATGAATAAAAAAAAGGTTCTGAGGGTGATATATCACCCAGATCACCCCCCGTAAATACGCCACTGATGATTAGTATGAGTTTTTAATTTTTTTTATAGTAAGAAAGGCCTGTCCAAACATACTGAAGTATTTTGCAGTTATATTTTTAATTACATAGAATATATATAATAACTAAAAAATACCTAATATATTTTAAATAAATACATTAATACATTATACAATTTATTTCATTTTGATACTATTTTCACTAATAAATTATATATTTTATTCATTGTTAATGTAAAAAATATTTTAATTACATAAAATTGTTCAATAATTCAAATTTTGGAATTTATAAATTAATAATGGATGCACATAAATATATATTCAAATATTTCAGTTATAATAACTAATGTATAATAAAAATATATTTTAAAACATAATTTAATAATTATTGTATTTTTTAAGTTGTGACAATTTTATCAAAGATTGATCTCTCCATGATCTACGTTTATTGAGCTCTTCTAATGGAGTGATATTATTTAATTGCTCTCCGATAACATTTACTAATGGTCCTTCAAACTTAGGAGATGGCTTGAATTGTTGACACACACCAAACATAGAATTTGAATAACGCTCAGTATAGTTCACAAACCCTAAAATAAATTTTTAATATATACATTAAAAATATTTAAAAATTAAAATGTAAGACTCATGATACATAAGAGTCTAGAAAGCAATTTCTGGATATATATATATAAAACTATTAATGATAGGTATTAACATCTAATCCTTCGAATCAGCAATTCTTAACCTTTCTAATTTGTGGACCAAATTTTAACTATGGTGCCCTTCTGTAAATATCATTGTTATAAGACACGTAAATATTGTGTACGTGTCCACCTTCACATAATAAATGTTAAAGAGAAATCGTCACGTTTGTATAAGGAAATGTCCTTAGAAATTAAGTACGTTTTTAAAATGTTAATACAACTATTAACACAATAACCTACTCCAATAAAATGTCGTTCCCAAAATAATAATTCAAGAGTGCAACATCACATTTTCATGATGCAGCCCAGGGCGCGTACAAATGGCTAATTATCAAATGTAGAAATCCGATGGCCACAGGATGTGACGTCCGGGACGATTTCATACCAAACAGCAATGTCTTAGCAATCACAGGACCAGCATAAATATCGAAGGGCGAGAGACAAGAGACCAGTTAGATTCCACAGCTCAAGTCACCCACACATCACCATTGGAGATTCTTCGGACTCTGTCCGTATGTACATTGCCTGACCGTTAAGACTTACGAGTTTATCGCTCCGAGCCCTCTGACGCATATAGGTGTGCACAAGGAATCTCCACTCCGTACATTTTATAACTTATCTATGTTATTGTGATTTCTATTAACTTAAATAAATATCTATTCCATTATCAACAATATTGTACGATTCATTTGAACACGTGGGTCGCAACACCATGAAGAACATGATAAAAATAAACACTAATTCTCATTAATAACCAATTTAAAAAAAACGTTATTGAATATATTATTAATAAATAATAAACGTATAGTTGAAAATAAATAGAAAAAAAAATTACAAGCTAATTAACTGCTTTAAAAGAGAAAAATGAATCTGGAAAACTAATAACTAATGAGATTTTTGACTGCTTATTTTTGAAAAGTTTAACAATATTTTGTTCAATTTGAGACAACTAGATAAAGAGATCAGGTTGTACACAAAGACGGTTTCGGTATTTGGTTAAAAACCCTACCTTGAATAAATAAGTGGTAGCAAATGGTAAGGAGTATTATTATTACTTTTTGACTCAAATCTTCAAAGCTTATATTTTTCAAGTCAACTTTTTTTGATTCTTGTATAAGCTATGGTGCCCCTAAAATGAGCTCAAAGGGCACTGTGGTTACATAGGTTGGAAACCGTTGCTTTAGATAATCTTAAGATAAAGTTACTTTATCCTAAAAATAAAAAATTACATACCTTCAGCATTTAAATGAGTAGTTTCAAATGGCCCAAGAAAAGCATATCGCATACCAAGACCTTCAGACATAACTGTATCTACATCTTTTACGTTAAGTATTCCATCATTTACAAGATGCCAACATTCATTCAATATGGCATATCTATTCAATTAAATGGTTATTAAATATTATTATTTAGTATAATTATTACCAGGGCTCGGGACTTATAACGCTTAAAATCATTAAAATAAGCGCTTAAAAATATCATTATAAGCACTAAAATAAGCAATTAAAAAATTTAAAATCGAGAAAAAAGTGTTTAATAAAAAAAAAAAGTATAAAATTGTAACTAAAAAATAAAAAAATAATAAAAATAAATCTTCACTTTCAAGACTAAGGATTTTATGGATTTTCTAAGAGATTTTTCTGAAAAATAAAATGTAAACTGTTCTCTATGTTCTTGATCATTCTGACGTTGGACACTCAGTTATATTTTCAGCGTTGGAATATATTTGTTAACCCTACAACAATGCCTTGGATGACTACGAATTACGTGACAACATAGATAAGATAAAAATTATTTTTAATTTTAATTCTATCAAAAACAACTTCGCAGGAGAAAACTATAAAAACGTAAAAAAAAACTGGTCAATTAAGCAAAAATAATCAGAAAAACTGGAAATAAGTATTTTTTTGAAAAATTGCTGAAAAAAGCAAATAAAAGGCACTTCCAAATTTCATAATTGTACGTCTTATAACTTGACATACACTTCTATAACACTCTGCTACATTTTAAGTCAATCCATAAAACTAAGCAAATGCTTTAACTCCCGAGCTCTGGTTATTACTTATTGTATATTATGATGAACTAAACTGAATCCGATTCAATGCAAATCCCGGTATTTCTTTAGCAAGAGTTACAGGTGATTGTCTGATTTCTTCCATGATTGCTCTAGTCTTCTTTACTACCCAATCTTCTGTCCATTCTGATGGCACAATTTCCACCAATGGTACAAAATATGGTGGATTGACCTTTAAAAAGTATACAACATTAAATTATTAATTTTTTTTTTAATAAATGTTAGTATAAAAATGTTATTGTTCATACTGGATGTGAAACAATTAATTGAGTACGGTGTTCCATTTTTTCAGAAAGAGCTGATGGTAAAAATGTTGAAGTTGAACTAGAAATTATGGTTTGGCAACCAACTATTTTATCAATCTTATTATACAGTTGTTGTTTTATGGATAATACTTCTGGTACTGATTCTTGAATAAGAACTGCATCTTTCACTACTTCTTCCAGATTAGTAACACCTTTTTGATACAACATTTATGTTAAATTTCAATGGTTCATTTTAACAATGGATTGAGCAATTAATAAAGAATAATTATAAATAAATAACATATAAATTTCATAATCATAATTGTAGTTCAATAAATCATTCGTAAGATTAAAATACAATATAATTTAATTTTCATTATTCAACTCTATTTGATTGAATCTTAATGGATATACTATTTTTTTATTTTTATTTTTAATTGTATTATTTTATTTATAGTTTATCCCAAAATAGTTTTTAATAGAACAATTACAACTTTAAAAAATAGTGCAAATTTCCTAGGTCAAATGAGATACAAGGATGGGTGAACGATATTGCTGTATTAGTATTTTAAACTTGAAACCAATATACCTATTGCTCTTAAAAAAATCATTCTGAGTAAACGTACCAAATTTCTTATTAAGTTAAGTTAAACTTTTGATGTTATAATTTGCATAACAACAAAAAAGTAATTTAAAATTACGGTAATATAAGTATTCAGTGAAAATTTCATGTATCTACAATAATTATTTTTTTTGAGTTATAATGAAAACAATAATTTGATTTTGTCAAAAACTGTTGTACCATAAATGTTACTATATTTTTATAACTTTTTGTACATTTTTTGCATTAATAAAGAAACTATTAAAAAATTACCCATTCAAGATAAAAAATAAAATTTTCTATAAAAAATTTCTAACCGTGATGATCGGAGCAATCCTAGTCAAAATTATGTACATAGATACAGGAAAAAAACATATCATGGTGAAAGTAGGTACAATTAGTATTATTATTAGTAGGTACAATTCTCATTTCACTTAGAATCTAATAAATATTTTGGATAAAAAATAATTAAAATATTATAATAATTCAAAACTTATAAACCTCCATTATTATTTAACCAACTACCTGTGTGAAATTAAAAAAAAGCGTACTTGTTTGTTATCGCTCCGCCAATACACCATATAAAATTCATCGCCCCTTCAGTAAATTCCATATTGCTTATCGCATATCGTACATCGCTATCGAAATCGTTTGTGATTTATGTATTTTAAGAAATGAGAAAACTACATTTTATCATTTTTATGTTGTAGGATATTAGTACGTTGCAGGCTTTCGTTTTTATATTACTTAATAATGAAAAATATGAAAAATTTGATTTAATACGTTAAAATGAATTTGATTCAATTACTTACAGTAGTTTTAAACAGTGATACTGGAATTACAACAACATAATATAATTAAAATTAGTAAAAAAAAGTCTTCTACCTTTAATAAGGTCAATTTGTTGTTTTGCATTAAGGCTGCCTCTTAAAATTCCATTTTTTTCCATTGTTTCCAGTTCATCTTTTATTTTATTATGAGCAGTGTTTACTTGTTCTAAACTGACATCATATATGGTTACATTGTAGTGGGCGCTAGCAAATAACATGGCCCAATTCTGACCAATTAAACCACTGCATACAAAAAAATTTGTTAATAATTCACAAATTACAAGACACTTAACAAATTTAAATTAAAAAATAATGTTCTAGATTTGAAAATTAATTATATTTTTGATCATTGGCATAATTTACAAAACAATTGATGATTTATTAAAATCCTTATTTTTTTTTTTTATAAAATAAGCAACTTTCAAGACTTTATATTTATATAAAAAAATAATTCTTTAACACAAATTACGTAAATCAAAATAATAGTATTACATAATAATAATAAAAACAATAATAAGTTATAATAGTCAATACTACTAAAGTGTTCAGTATTTCAGTTTAAAAATTTCATAATTTAAAAACAAAAAACAAAGAAATCAAGTACGAAATAAATGAAAATAAAATATCGTAGTTATAAAAATAATTTTAGATAAAATGAATGGAAAAAAATTCAATTTACTTCTTAAATTTTAGAGGAGAAAAAAATTATATCTATTTTTTTCCTATATGGATTTTCATTTTCATTGATTGGTGGATCTGTATACTCCACAATGTCCTCCACTCTCACCCATAGACCTTATATTATAACAGGGATGGCCAACCAGCAGCTCGTATCTTATTAACGAAAACCAAAATTTACTTACTATTATTATGAATTTTTTTTTGTTTTTTTCTTCGGCAAACATTATAATATAAATATTTTTCTGTATAAATATAGTAAAATACAGTATATAGAAAAAAAAATTACTATTACTTAGATCAAATTATAAAATGTATTAATAAATATTTTGACTCTTGATATCATTGTATTTGTCCATGTGGCTAGTGAACATATTTATATTGGCCACCCCTGTACTATAAGGTCTATAAGGCTTCACCTGATGTAAGCAAACTTAAGCATGTTTAAGTCATAAATCTATTAATTTAATTTATTAGATAATAGGTCTATGGAATAAGTCTTCGAATGAGAGTGAAGCATAGACTTATAAATACTTAAATTCCTTATATTAGTAGGGTGAGTGATGATGGCTAATAAGTAAGGCCCATGGTACATGAACTTATAGTGTATAAATTAAGGTTTACTCTCCTTAACAAGTAACAATAGAATGGGCCTCGTTTGAATTGAACATTTTGTTAGGTATGGATCTGTGAGATAATTTGTCCGTTTTGAACATAGACCCATTAATAGGTCTATGGTCTTGAACTCTATTTGAATGGTACAGCTGTTAACATTAAAAGGAGTTGGTTTTTGATGGCTTTGTTGAAAGACACTCTACATCATCATGTAGTTTAACATAATAGTTAGAATTAATTTTTCCCTCAACTTTGTCACATTCCAACTTACGATTGACTACAAACCGGGAAACCCATTTTTATGCTGTCATAATATTTCTTTTTGTTACGCCTGCACCGAAAGTAGTTCTTGTTGAAGTTAGACACAATTCCTTATTGTGTTTGTAGGTTATTTTTATTATACTTATATATTGTATACTATATAGTACTATATATATATATAGTAGTGTCAACTGTCATGGCGTTGTATTATGTTATAGTTTTTAGATATTTTGCAAGTGTAATTTTCTTTTTAATAAATAATTATGTTTTCTTTTTATAATGAATTAATATATTTAATAAATCAATAGGTTATGGGCCCAGCCACCCTAATGAATTTAAAATTGAAAGAAAGTTAATTCTTGTAAAACATGTGTTCGATTTTTGTTTCGGTTGTCGTTAATTTTTTTTTTTTTTTTATAAAAAGAAATGGAAGAGGACAAACACAAAGTGCCGTTATTCAATGATAAAAATTTTTCCAATTGGAAATTTCGAATGAAAGTATTACTTGAAAAACAGGAACTTTTGTTTTGCGTCACGAAATGTAAGTCTTTAATTAACCATAGTGTATACACTACAATTAAACGGAATAGCTGAACGCATGAATTGAACCTTATTAGAAAAAGTTCGCTGCATTATATTGCATTCTGGTGTTAATAAAAAATTATGGGGATAAGCAATTTTATCATTTACCTATGTAACAAATAGGAATCCTTGTCGTTCATTACAATGTAACAAAACTCCTGCTGAATTGTGAAAAAATAAAAGAGTAAATCTTTCTAAATTAAAAATTTTTTGGTTGTGAAGCTCTTGTTCACATTCCTAAAGAAAAGAGAACGAAGTTAGATTCAAAAACCATGAAATGTATTATGGTTGGTTACAATATAAATGGTTGTAGACTTTGGAGTGAAGATGAAAACAAAATAATTGTATCAAGAGATGTAATATTTAATAAAAAAATATTTACAAAACAAACAAGTATTGAAGATACATTCCATATTGATGAAATTAAATGTCCAGAACCTAATAATGTAATTCAGGATACACAGAACAACTATGAATGAAGAACAACCATCCAGAACTTCAAGAATAAAAAAAACACCAATATGGCATGAAGACTATGAGTCTTGGCATTGAATGCAGATACTTTTATTGAAGATTGACCATATGACTATAATTCAATTATTGGTCAACATGATGAAAAACTATGGTTAAAGGCAATTGATGAAGAATTTCAGTCATTAAATAAAAATAATACATGGAAATTAGTGCAACTACTCGCCGGACGAAAACCTCTAGATAGTAAATGGGTTTTCAAAATTAAAAGGGATAATGAAGGAAATGTCCTTAAATATAAGACTAAATTGGTAGCAAGAGGTTTTTTCAAAAACATGGAGTTGATTTTAATGACACATATGCCCCTGTTACAGAGCTTACAACTGTCCGAGCTATACTGGTACTCATAAATGAAAAATCATTATGTACTCATCAAATGGATGTTAAGACTGCATTTTTGAATAGGTACCTCGATGAAGACATTTATATGGCCTTACCAAATGGATTCAAAAATAATGAGGATACAAAAAGGGTATGTAAACTAAATAAATATCTATATGGACTGAAACAGGCAAGTAAATGCTGGAATGAAAGATTTCATACATATATTACCAAACTAGGTTTTCAAAGATCTGATAATGATTACTGTTTGTATATTAATTCACAGTCAGATACTGATGAAAATTTAAGTTATCTTATTTTATATGTTGATAATTTATTATTAATAAACACTTACAGGAAGTAGTTAAAATTAAAGATAATCTCATAAAGGAGTTTGAAATGACTGATGGTGGTGAATTGAATTTTTTTCTTGGTATTCACATTGAAAGAAATGATGACACGTTAAAAATTGATCAAATACAGTACTTAAAAAATATATTAAAGAAATTTAATATGGATGATAGCCACCCAATATCAACCTCTATAGAACACAAATTAAATCTAGTACTTGGAAAAAATAATGAAATATGTGACAAACCATACAAACAATTAATTAGTTGTTTAATATATGCCATGCTCGGAACAAGACTAGATCTGTGTCATGCTATTAGTTTTTTAGCAGGTATCAATGTCATCTTACTGAACAACATTAGATACATTTAAAACGTGTTCTACGTTATATCAAAGGAACTCTTAATTACAAATTTTGTTATAAGAAAAACATGAATATGCCTCAAGTTTTATCTGCATATGTCGATGCTGATTGGGGTGATGACATCAATGATCGCAGATCTACTACAGGATATCTGATTAAATTTTATGGCTGTACAATATCATGGTGTTCTAGAAAAAAACAAACAGTAGCTATCTCGTCAACATAATCCGAGTATATGGCTGTGAGTGATGCAATATGTGAAGTACTATGGATAAGGAGTCTTATATTATTTTTGAACTTAAAGGTTAGTGGACCTTCTTTGCTTTATGAAGATAATCAGAGCTGTATAAAACTAGCGTCAAACCCTGAATATCATAAACGTACCAAACACATTGATATAAAACATCATTATATTCGAGAAAAGGTTCAAAAAGGAAAAGTTGAATTAAAATATATTCATACAACTGTTCAAGAAGCTGATATGTTGACAAAGCCTCTACAAGCAAGTAAATTCAAGAATAATTTGTTAAAAATTGGACTACATATTTAGTATTTTTGTTGTTTATTTTATATTATATTAATTGTTTAGTGCAGGAATTGAAGGGGAGTGTTGAAGTTAGACACAATTCCTTATTGTTTTTGTAGGTTATTTTTATTATACTTTTCTACTGTATACTATATAGTAGTAGGCTAGTAGCGTCAACTGTCATGGCGTTGTATTATGTTATAGTTTTTAGATATTTTGCAAATGTAATTTTCTTTTTAATAAATAATTGTGTTTTCTTTTTATAATGAGTTAATATTTTTAGTAAATTAATAGTTTCCCACCGCGATAGAAACGTTGGTAAGCGACCTTTTTCCGTCCAGCGGGCGGTAAAATGGAAATCCCAAAAATTACCGGGTGCTAACGTGGAAAATCCCAAAAGTACTGGGCGCGTATTCCCAGCATGCCCAGAAACTGAATTTTTATTGATTTTATATTTACGACATTATAGCATGACAATTATTAAGTATTTAAGATACAAAGAGAAAAATGATAATAATTAATAACAAATAATTAATTAGATAACGATCAATTTTAAATACAATATTTTAAATGCATAATCCAGCGTTGGAGATAAAATAAATTATGAGTGCAATGACGGAGGGAGATCGAGAATTGAGAAGAAGGATTACATCAGGAGAGGTGTAATCTAAGGAAGAGAGTTGTGAGAGTGATATATTGCGAAAATGAGTAAGAGACGGACAAGAGAAGAGCATGTGATGAAGATCACAAACGATTTCGTGATTTTGGAGAGTGCAAGAGGGAGAAAAATTAAGTGAAAGGAGAAATGAATAAGGAGGGAGAAGATTATGCCTAAAGCGAAGACGAGAAAAAGAGACGACTGTGGATCGGGGTAAGTCTAGATGACGGAACCAAGGGAAGTTGGATATGCAACTGGATATAAATCTGTGCCAGGTAGCGAAGTTAGGGAGAAACGAAGATTAAAGGTCAGTCCATGTTTTTTTTTAGAGTTTTGTGAAAAATGGGAAGGAAATCAGACATGGGTATTTTTAATGGAGAAGGAACAATTATGTTTTTCGTAGAAGTGGCTAACCGATCAACTGTTTCGTTACCTAAGATACCAATTTAATTTGAAACCACGATTATAAATAAAAACTTTCTATAATCGTGCTTAAAACCCAAAGGAATTTGACGGCTTTATGAGATAAGAGAAATTAATGTATTAGAGATTTCATCATGAGAATGAGTGAGGGAATAGAAGAAATAATGAAGTTAGATTGAAGAGAAAGTAAGTATGATTGAGAATCGAAAACAATAAGAAATTTTTGAGAATTTATAAAAAAAATAAATTGAAGGACGTGAATGATGGCGTAGGTTTAGGCAGTAAATGAAGAAGCCGATGGGCGGAGATTGGAATAAAACGATATATTAATGGAAGGTATGAAAAAAGAAAATCCTGAAGATAAGAAAGATACTGATCAGTGAGTACAAAGATTGAGTTGAATGAGATCTGAGATGAAGGAGTAAACAAGGATATTAGGAAGTTTTTTCTAGGATTTTCGGAGTATGACTGAGGTGATTGGAGGCGATAGTAATAGGTGAATTGAAAATTAGAGCAGAGAAGGGCGTATCGTAAATTTGATTGTTTTATTTACTTGTGTTCTAAGAAGTATATTACACATGATATGTATTTATATAGGAGAAAATTCTAAACGATATATTTTACATTTAATATTATATTTTTTATACAATATATCTGGCTGGGAAATAACTGAAATGCGTATTATCTAAAATTAAAAATTATATTTTCCTATCGGGATTTTAATATTAATTGTATACGTGTCGGTAAATTATATTTGAGTGACGGAATCTTGTAATAATAGTTTTAACATCTTAATTTCGTTTTTTTGTTTTTAATAATTATAATATATTATAGTAGGACCTACTATTAGTAGGTATATTAACCTATAATATTTAATAAATAATATGAAATTTGATTCGCATGGTATTTTTTGTTTTCTTGCAAACATGTCTGAACCACGAAATTCTGTTGCACACGTACTAGGAACATTATGGTAAACCACAATAGTACTTCTTCCATATCATCAAACATTACTAAAATAACTGAACACTATTGAAGATTGAACAGAAATACAGTTGAAACTGGGATGGAAAACTAAGTAAAAGTTGGAACGTGTAGACACTTTATAAAATGTACGTCTTATTGTTCATTTTATATGTCCAGCAAAACGTGCAATAAGTCGTTGCGTGTAAACCGGGCTTTACGTTTTTAGATTTTCTATAGTAAAACAAATGGAGCCCTTTAGAAACAATGCGAAGAATTAAGGTCTTCGCAGAGCACAGTTTGAGAACCTCTGTATAATATACATCATTGGTATTTATTAGGTAGGTAGCGGAAAAGTTCGCTGGTAGTCTATAACTATAGATTTTAAATTAATAGTCTTCTTTGCTGTCCTATACTTCCTTTACTATTCATAAATTTTTATCACTTTTTTTTTTTATGAAATTCAAGTTTCATCGATTTCTTTTAAAAGTTTTATTTAAATTATTCTTTGCATCATTATTTTGCAAGTAGTGATCTGGTTTTCTATCAGTTTGACCTTTGATTTGTAAACATTGCATACCTACACTACAAGACTATAAGGACTTGACCATTTTTCAATGTTTTAGATCGAACTTAGATCTTATTTTTCCATCATAAGTGTATTTAAATATTTATATTATTTAATTAAATATTTTATTCCCAACTTGATTCACATATCAATTTGTTTGGAAGCAAATGAAAAAATTATACAACTATCCTATTTTTTTTTTTTTTTTTTACTATTATCTTTTACCACCGGAGACCTACATATAAGATATTGAATATGTTGAATTATATTTTTTATTTTTTGATAGCTTTTAAATTTATAAAAAAATACTGTAACAAAGGACTATTACTTAAATTCAGAACCTTATAGAATATATAATAATTACCTATCCAAGAGTTAATAACAAATATATTTTCCAGAAAATAATTCTGTATACATTTTTTTGTAATTTTTATTTTAATTAATACCATTATTAGGTTTATATTATTAATAATTTAAAATATATATTCATATCATAAAACATTAATAGGTACTATATAATTTGATCATTGTTATTAATGTTAAATTATGTAACAACGACATTACTTTGATATTACTATTATGTCAACAAAATATAATATGATATTTATCGTTACAGATTATATTATTATTTATTATTTCTTAAATTATAGAATATTAAAAACATAAATATAATTTATAATTTGTTCATAAGCATGGACACAATTAAAGTTAAATAGGCAAGGGAATGCATAACATATTTTCTATATAATATTATAGTAAATCCACAAAAACAATTTTGTGTTATGAATAAAAATCAACAAATACAATTATGAAAGGAAAAATTAATCTTAAATTCAAGTCATTAATATAATCTTTAATAAAATATGTTTATTGTTGTAAAATTATCATGAATAAAAATAATATGCATTGAATTTGGTAAATTAATATTATTTATGTCAGAACTATATATTAGTATTGTGAAGGGTATACATATATATAGGGATAACACTCTTATAAGCGTAGTATAACTGAAGCAACATAAGATTTTGGTTTAGTTCATGACATATTAATTTATAATTTACAACAATAATTACTTGGTATAGATTAGTATTACATTAGATTTGATGATGAACTACATATAGTAATAATTCAGAATACTTAAATAAAAACCTGATTAATACATAGTTTTACAACATAGATTGTATATTTTAGTTATTTTTAGTTAATATAAAGTTGATTGTATTGTTATTAAAAATTAATTTCATATTTGTATAAAAAATATATTAAATAACTAAATATTTCTGATTTTACCTGCCAATAATTCCAATTTTTCCTTTTTCGCTCATGTTTAAAGATACGAAAATTTTAAAATAAACTATGAAATGTAGGTTAGCTGAATGTGGAATAATTTAAATTATATTGACACTAGTATAAAATTTTAATTTCATACAAATGACCTATTTACAGCAATATCAAGAATATTAAAGAATAATCAGTGAATGAGGTATTGGTATTGGTTATGATTTTATTTATTTTCAATTATTTATAAAACGTCATGGTATAATGATTATAATTAAAAGTTTATCACATGTTTCAATTGAAATTATAGAGATTAGAAAGTAATTTGTTTTTTTTTTATGTATTTAGACATTAAGAAGTAGGCACGTCATTTATGGGGGGAGCGATCCCCTCCCCAAAATATTGTATTGTATAACTACGATAAGCCGTAAATAACACTATATTACACATTATTTAAGCACCAATAATTTTAAAGTGGGTCAATAATTATAATTTATAATACATTTTTTAGCTGTAATTATTGATAAAACTATTTTACTTATTGATACTTGATTTATGTTTAGTTTTATTTATTTTGTAATATTAATTATCATCAAATATTTAAATAAACTGTAGCTGCATTCATGATTAGCAATTAAATTATACTATATAACACAATACAATTAGGTACCTAATTAAAACATATCTGGTATATTTTTGATTAAAGTTCCGAGCGAATTGAAAAATAGCAATTATAATTGATTTTGCGCAGGGTAAAATGGACTTTATAATAAACATATTCTATGGTGGAAATAAGAGTTTTACCAAGTATACTCTGTAATTAAAAATTATTCTTTAACAGGGTAATTGCACTAAATTACGAATTATTTATTTAAATTATTCGATATTTGTCATGAAATCAGCTATCATAGAATGTTTAGAAAAATAATTATTTAAATAATTATTCTGTGATGATATCCATAGATATATAAAATAATTCCTTGATATGTCTATGATGATATCATATTTCTTATGATAACGGTATCACTTATCACCGTGGCTTATTTGATAAACATTTTTTAGAAGTTTTTCTTAAAATACGAAATACCACTCTTTTTTTAATTGTACCTTTTGTTATTTTTTAAAAATTAATTGTATGTCGATATTGATCGGTTTGTACGTACTTAATTAATACCATTTTACTTTAATGTACTAAATCCCTACAATTAAAAATATATTAATGATAAATGTTTAAATTTTATGTATAATCCATATAGTTTCAAAAATGGCTAATTTCAATAATCCTGAAGAAATAATTCATCATTACAAATTTATACTTAATAAAACAAAGAAGTAAAATAATTGTAGTTTTTATTATAACATTTTAATACTTGAAAATTTTTTTTATTTTTAGAAAATTATTTAGAAAGTTAAATACATTGGAGCCTAGTGACCAATTTGGTAAAATAATTGTGTATGGTAAACTTATTTTTTTTTTTTCATAACTGTTGTAAATTACAGCTAAGCTAGCAAATTCTTGTCAAAAAAATGACAAACATTCTTATGCTGCATTGTGTTGGCAAGCAGTAGCTAAATGTGAGGAATCAATGGGTCATAACTGTGAACAAGCTCTTGCTCATCAAAAAGCAGCCTGCCAATTTTTTTCTGAATTTAAAAAGACTGAATCTTCTGGTTTCATATCACCTTATAATGAACATTTACATGTTAGATTTACATACATCTATAATTATTATTATTATTTAAATTAATTACAATATCTATAATATAGGCAGGCTTAAGTGAAATGTGTCATGCTGAAGATAGTTGGCAAGGGAGTTTGTTTGAAAATATTATAAAAACTTCAATACGTCTAGAAACAGCTGAAAGTCTTGTACATTTAGGTAAATTGGATGATGCAGCTTTTATTGGAAATAGTTTGATTGATGTTCCACATGAAAGTCAAACTCTTAAATTAGTTGTTCTAGAACAAGTAACTTCCAATCAAATTCTATCTGGTATTTTCAATAAAATATAAATAATTATGACTGTTGATATTAAAAATAGTATTACTTTTTTAGAAGATTATGAAGGTGCTCTGTTAACTTTCACAGAAATTGCAAATATTATTTCCTGTACAGACAATAACACTATTGGTATTTATAATGATATTTTGCTTAGGTAAGTATTTTAATTATATATATTTTTTAATTTTATTTACTTCATTTAAATTATAGATGTGAAATATCACGAGTATTTTTATTACTTATACTGAAACATACTCGTCAAAAAATGCCTAGTGATTTAGCTTCAGTGTTGGAGAAATACATGTGGATTAATGGAAATTTTGATTCTCCTGGTTTGTATTATTCTATAAACTTATAAATTATACATTTTAATGTTATTGTTTAAATAATTTTAGTTTCTTATATATCTGATGTAATATTTCGATTACTTCATTCTTTGGTTAAATCATATCAACTTGGAGAAACTACCTGCTTAGGTACAATTGAATCTAATTTTACACCACATTTAACACCAGAACAAAGACATTTACTAGCTGTATTAATAAATACAATGACATAGTTTAAAGTTTTTGTTGTACATTATTATAATTAAAATGTATGATACTTGAATAATATTTTTTTTTTTTATGTACAATATAAATATAAATGATTATATAACAAAAAAATATTTAAATTTGTAGCATTATTTAGTATTATTATAGATACAATTGTTCTACCATTTCACATGAGTAATATGAATTAACTATATCTTAACAATTCTCTCCTATACAATAGCAGTTATTTGTGTATAATCTTTTTTTTTTTTATATATATACCAGCTATACATCCACCACCCGGAAAAGCTGAGTAGTATGTACTTCAGGTAGTAGGATGCTATCATTTATTGAAAATGTTACGCAATAAATATTTGGGGTAATTGTAGGTACAAACCTCTCAATAAAATATTTACAAATTTGGTTGGAGCAACCATCAAATTATTCCAACAATCTGCTCCTTACAAAAATTATTCCAATTCAACTTCCAGTAGATCGGAGGGCAGCAAATACAAGTTAGTCACATGACCTACTTCCATACTGCTCTCCTTCTTACCCACTATGAGGGAGCTATCCCATGTTGAACTTGTTCTACATCTTTTGAAGATTTCACATTTTCCTCAAAATGGGTAACAACAAAACATTTAGACAGATTTTCCAGCATTATGTGTATACCATCCCTTCATTTTTCTGGTTCTACTTTCATCTAATGTTCTATTCTCTCTAATAATCATTTACAAAAATACTTTTAACAACTATAACATTCTTTCCTCATTTTCAACAATTTCCTTTTACAACCAGACTGATTTAAAAATTTAATTTATCTTATTTAAATAATTAATTATTGTAACTAATTGTGTTTAACAATTTTCAAATAAAAGTCATATTATCATATCAATCCTTTTTTTATTGTCTTCACTAAGCTGTATAGAGTAACTCATTCTAAGTTAGAATTCCTAACCCTTTACCAACATGTTTTGAGCTGTCATAAATTTATATCAGCTTTCCATCTATGGAAGACACAAATATTTCTTGCTTATTTTGCATATACTTTCATTTTGATAATAAAATGGAAGAATTTTGTTTCGTTTAATGTTGTTTTTCATAACATATGAACAATCTATTTACATATTCCCTTATTTTATTTGTGATTGATTTCCACTTATATATTTAAGTATTAATAAATATTAAATAATAATTTACAAATCCTTGACAATTTTCTAGAAGATATAGTAAACCATAACATTTAAGACCACTTGCATCAAAAACAAAAAAAAATTAATGTAATTATTTATCACAGTCCATCAAATAAATGATGATAAAAAATCTTTGATAAATGTTTAAAAGAAATTAAAACAGGAAAATGTGAATAGTGCATCATAAATTAAATATTATTATTAGGATGAAATTAATTTCATAAGCTAAAGAAATAATTTACAAAATTATATGATGAATACGAGATATGGAGAAAAGCAAAACTCTGTTAATATAATCTTAACCTTTGGTTTGACTGTATAGAATAATGTATAAGCATAAGTTTATACATTATTCTATAATGTATAAACTTATACATTATAAGGAAAACAGAAATTAATAATAGGAAGAAACAGGGATCAATAATAAGATCCGTAATCGAAAACAACCCTTAGGCAGACCACGACTAAGATGGGAGGACTGTGTTATTAAAGATGTAAGAAGAATAGAAGATAGTTTGCAATGGATGGGAAAAGCGGAGGATAGAAATAGATGGAGAAGTATATACTTGGAGGGCTGGTCTTAAAGGCCGTTACCCCCCCCCCACCAAAAAAAAAAAAATAAGCATAAGTTTATTATATCATGAGTGCAGAAAAATTAATAAAGTAAGTAAAAAAGAGATTAGTAACTTCTAGTCAATTATTAAAATGAAATTGAAAATAAATGTTTATTACACATAGTAATCACTTGAACAAATAATCCTGCGATTAAAAATGCAATAATGATTAATTCTCAATGCTGTAAAAAGTAGATAAATAATTTCTACAGCTGATAACGAATAACTGATAACATGTTATTTTTAACTGCTATCCACTCCTTATTGAATACTAGACTAGGTAACATACATTTCGTAATAAAATTACTAATTTAGTAATTTGAATAGTTGTGGGTAGTTGATTCCAATTATTCATTAATTTTCTCATAATTTAAATTGTTTTCAATTGATGAACAAATTGAAGTCTTCAGTTTGACTTATTTTTTTCGCACAGTTTAAAAATTATCCAACTACGTACTTATTTAACTATGGGCGTGCAAAATTTACAAATAATTTTTAACCATCCTACAACAGTATTTACGCCTGGTCAATCGGTTACTGGACGCGTTTTGATTGCCACTAGTAGTTCAGTGAAAATAAGAAGTAAATGAGACATTAATTGCAAAACAAGTACTTATTGATTTTAATGCTAACATTATTTATAGGTATCAAATTAAAATTCAAAGGAGAAGCTAAGAATTCATGGACTGAACAGGAATCTCGAAGAAATGATAATGGTGATACTGAAAATTACTCGGTCAAATATGATGCGGAAGAAGAGTATTTTGAAAACAAAGTCACTTTAGTAGGCGGAGGAGGTAAATATTAAATAAATATTTTTACTTTGGTCACTTATTTTTTACCAAATGATAGAATTGTAACTTAAAAACCTCTTGAAAACTTTTAAAATTTTACATATAACTTGCATTTTATCAAAATTTAAGTAAATTAAGTTAGGTATATTGTTATATTTCCTTAGCTTAGTTATTTAAAGTAAAACTTAAATACTTATAGATAAAAAAATTCAATGAAGTTTAATGTTAAGTATATAAAATTATCTTACTTTATTTTTGTAGTTTGGAAGATAATGGCTACTGTGAAATAGCTAATCAATTTCTGTAAACATAATTTATATCATGTGGCAGATATTTTTATTATTTAATCTATATATTTTTTTTAGGTGAATCACAGTTAGAAGTAGGTGAACATGTTTATCCATTTAACATATCTTTACCTCTTCAGTTACCATCAACTTTTAATGGTGAGCATGGACATGTAAGGTATATGGCAAAAGTTACAATTGATATACCATGGGGCAAAGATAAGGAACAAGAAACCATTTTTGAAGTTTTTTCAGCTTTAAATTTGAATGATGAACCATCTTTAGCAGTGAGTATATTAATCATTATTTATTATTTTTATAATAATATACATTTTAAATGTATATTACATATCAAATATTTTATCAGTAAAGATATTACTGTTGAAAGTTTGTGTGTAAATTGTTTTAATTACTAATTGATTCAATTAATAACTGATTACAATATTTTCTACAATATTATATTATTCATTGTAAATAACTATTGTTTTGTCAAATAATAGAAATATTCATAATACTTAAAAAGTTTTCAGGTTTTCTCAATTGATAATTAATAAATTCATTAACTTTTGTTTATACCTAATTCCATTTTTCATGAACATCTAGAAACAATCTTGGAAAACTGTTTATATTCACAATTAAAATATTTACCTAAACTAAATATACTTCAAGACAGTGGCGCCAAACAAAAATTAAATTGGGAGGAGGGGGCAAAAATTATTTCTTTCTACTCACCACCTACTAAATAATAGAAAAATATATAGTAGTTTACCTAAATTTTTTTTGTATCCACCAACCCCACTCACAAAAAGAAAGGGAGCGGTTCCCCTCCTTGGATTGTAAGTTTTGTGCTACTATTTGAAGATATAAAATAATGTAACTTAATTAATTTTGTGTCTGTAACATTTACTAAACAAACACCAAATTATATAGTATTACATTTCTTGCTACATTAAAAATATAATCTTTTCAAGGAACCTAAAAAAGAAGAAAAAGAAAAGTTTTATTGTTGTTGTTGCTGCAAGTCTGGGCCGATGACATTAGTCGTTTGTGTTCCATATACCGGTTTTATACCTGGGCAAATTATACCTCTGACTATTGAATTGGATAACAATAGTAATGTGGCGATTGAAGCTGTTAAAATCAAGTTGGAAAGAGTAAAATATTCAATTATCTTTCTTATTTTCATTATTTTGGCTAAGAATATGGTATTTTTAGAAAGTAGATTTCAAAGCAAGGCACCCTAATGAAAATACTAAATCTAGTTCATCTGAATTAGCCTTATTACGTTTACAAGGAATAGAAGCACATGCTTCGAAAACATGGACAGAACAAATGACTGTTCCTAATAGTTTGATGTTCTCCAATCTGAAATATTGTGGAATTATAAATGATAACTATATTCTTAAAGTAATTTCAATCTATTCATAGTTATAATTTAACATTTATTTAAATATTTATTTTTTAGGTTGAAGCTATTGCTGGGAGTATGTATGAAAATACTAAAGTTGAGATCAAAATTGCAATGGGTAATATTCCATTAACTATTGCCCAAGATGCAACTCAATTTGGTTATCCAACCCAACCAAACCAAAATAATCCTTTGAACGAACAATTCCCTACAAACTCTGTACAACCTGTAGGATTTATTGATCCAGCACCTGTCCCAGGCTTTGCACAGCAAGTTCCATATGGCCAACCACCATTTCCTTCTCCCCTTTATCCACAACAATCCATGAATCCTGCCCAAAACACTGGTTATATTCAACCATTATATCCACAAGCTCAATTAAATAACCAATCCCATTTACCTTATCCAGAATTGAATGAACAGCAACCTACATTTAATCCATCTTATCAGAATTTAAATCCAGTAGTCACTTCTGTTCCAACAGCTCCTTCTATATAATTAAGATTATTCTGGATTAAGAATAGAATATTAAAAATCTAGTAGTATATATACCTATATATATATATTCTAAAAAGATAAGAAACAGTATAAAAAGTTTTCACTTTTTATATTTAAATATACCTATACATGTATGTTTGTATTACAATTGTATTATATGATCAGTATTTTATAATTATTCATACAAATCATCTATGTAGGTTAATTAATAAACTATTATTCATTATTTGATACAGATGAAAAAATTAAATATTTAATGTAAATGTTTTTAGTTTTAACAATAATTTTTTATACTATCTCAAATATTTTAATATTTTATTTACTGCATTACATTTTAATTGTAAATGCTTTCTTAAGCAACATTTTTTAAAAATAAACCAGGTTTATTGAGAATTAAATTGTTTAATTCTCAATAACCGAGTATTATTAAATTATTGTACATTAGCCACAATGTGCCTTATATAACTTGTGCCAATCAAATAAAGAATTTATATTAACTTACAATAAAATTAATAATATTAAATTTAATTACTTTTGATTAATTGTTGGCATAAAATTAATATTTATATTATTATTAATTAAAATTGTTTCATACTTAAATATTAATTTTTTGAAAATAATTCTCAATTATAATTTTATGATTTATATATATATTGTTATTATTTTTTGTTTATATAAATATGATAGTAACAATTATGAAGGTGCTACGTTTTTTGATTTGCTTTTGAATGTTCTAAAATGTCGATTAAATAATTTTAAATGTTTATAAATTATATTTAATTTATGAAAAAAATATTAAAATATATATTGTTATTTTTTTTTTAGGTTTTATTGAAAACTTATATTTATAAATTATTTTTAATATTTATGCTTTTTAGAGGTTATTGTATGGAATATATTAATGTTAATATCTAACTTGAGTTGGTAATTTATTAATATTTATTTTTTATGAAAAATATTATACATTAATGTACAAATAATAATATATATTAGTACATTAACCAAGACTTAGTATCTGTAGGATCAAAAATTGAATGCTAAAGGTATTAACATTTTATATTTAATTTTCTTCGACCATTTTACTAACAATTTTTTTTTTTAATATTTTTGATTAAATGGATAATTTTTTATTGTAATACTAAACGTAATTCTAAAATTAATTGAATATTTAACAATTAGTTTATATTATAAAAATAAAAAATAGTTGTAGTTAAATAAAAAGTTAACAAATTAGATTTTTAAAGTTCTAATTAAAATTATTGCTTATTTAATGTTTTATGTATCAAAAATATATTTATTAAAAATACAAATTTAATTTCAAATATAAGATTGTGTTCTTATATTGATTTATATTATATTACGCTATTCCAAATAGAATTAATAAATAATAATTTGTGTGTCATTCCTCATTCAAGTAAAATTTTTGATATTTTTAAATTACAAAAATCTAAATTTATACTTCAAAACTTATCATATTTTCAAGATAATTTAAAACTTTTTAATTTGGTAAAATTAAACAGTTAAAATTTATTTAAAAACAATAATTATTACTAATAATTCATAGATTTTTATTCAATTATCTATTTTTTTTTTATAAATCACCTAGTAGCCTAGAGAAAGATTTTTGTTGATAATTTTGTTTGGATAAAATATGTTAGCACAATTTAAAATAATAATATAAAACAATTTTCTCAAGGAGAGGATAACATCAATCATCTCCATAATTGTGTCATTGTGTCAGAATTATGAATGTGAAGTTTTTATCTCAAAATTAATAATTTATTTTCAAGATTATAATAAATAATACACAAATGTACTTAAAATTAATGATTGTCTTTTTGTTAAAATTTGAAAATAAATGTGAAACCAGAATTCTTATAATTTATATAATTAACTATGTATATATTTTTTTTTTATGAATTAGTATTTATGCACCATTACATTCTCTATCTGATTTACATTTTTTAATTATTTTATTAAATGATAATTGATAAATCACCATTATTAATCTTAATATCCCAGCACCAAAAATCTGAAATTTATAATTATTATTTCATTAATTCAGTGCTAAGCAATTGGAAACAATTTTAGTATGTTTTAGTTACTTGACAAATTAACTCTGAATAAGAAACTAATGGAGCCATTCCAGCACAACTAATAGTCATCATATATCCTTCAAAACCTATAGTGCTAAAGAAATATCCATCCTAAAAGATAAATTTTAAAATAATCAAATATGCACATAATACATATAAATTACATTTTCAGTTATAAAATTACCAATGCATCTTGAAGTATTTTTTTTCCAACTTCTTCTGGTCTATACAATTTTGCTGTTTGGGAAATCATTGATGTTTCTAAAGGTTTGGTTTTATTTTCATTTGCAAATCCTGGAGTATCTGTGTCTGGGGGTAATGCTAATGTCACATTTATTCCATTGTTCTTTATCTAAACATATTTATTTAGCATACTAAGAAATACAAAACTAGACAAATAATAATTTGGAAGAAAACTATTTTGCGAGAAACTTTATATCAATATAGCTTTTTATAGTTTAAGCAAAGTTTGATATTGTGTTTATACACAATATTTATTTGGATATAATGAGAATAATATTTTACAATTTATTTAATCTTATTTTTAAACATACATTATTAACTTACTTCCATACTTAAAGCTTCTGCAAATCCTCTTAATGCAAATTTTGTTGCACTATATACACTTAATCCATATATACCACAAAAAGATGCTAACGATGAAGTTATAACAATACTTCCATAACCATTTAGTTTCATCTCATTTATTACTGCTTTGGTAGCATGGATTGTAGATATCAAATTTGTATTGATCATTTGCTATTACAATATTTAATATAATTAGGTAAAATCATAATAAAAACACTACAAAAAATACCATTATATCACTGGATGAGTTGTCTTCGAGTCTACCACATATTGCCATACCTGCGCAGTTTACAAACAAGTATAATGGTCCCATTTCCTTAATTGCATTGTTGAACGCTTGTTTTACCATGTCATAATTACCCGATAAATCAACTATGCATAAAACATTATTTTAAATTGAATATTTTATATACCTATGATAAACAGTAAAACTATTTGTAAAGTGCATTTTTTCAATCATAAAATTAATATTTTTTCATAGTGATTTAATTTCAAATTTACACAATATAACTAACCAGATAAATAGTTGAATTTTTGATTATGGTATAGACATTGTGATTTAATCTCTTCCAATGATGATAAAAGTCTATTTTCATTTCTTGCAACAATTGTAACATTTGCTCCAATCTTGGCAGCTTCCATGGCAATACATTTACCAATTCCACTAGATCCACCAGTAATCTGCAAATTTAATGTAATATATGTTGTATGGCAAGAATATTATTATAACTTGCTTACCATAACATGACAACCAGATAAATTTCTTTTTTTGGTCGTAAATTTGTATTTTAAAATCACAGCCAATACGAATAGAAAAAATATGATAAAAATTACTAATGCAAACATTTTGTGTTTGGGATTTCATTAATTTTCCTTTAACCAACTGTATCGCTTTACGACGTAATAAAGAATGGACTTGAAACATATCTATTTGTAGGATATGGATCAATGCTATGATTAATTCGAGTAGTTAATCATAACAATTGTTAGATTAAATTAATAAATTAAAATCTAAATTCTTATTATTAGAATTCAGAATTTTTAATTCACACATTTTTTTTTTTTTTTTGAATTTACGGTCCTACGTACCAGGTTGGCCAGTGATGTGTCAGTGTAGGCCATTTGAATAATAATAATAATAATGGTTTAAAACTGGTAAATTCTGTGGTCTACACTGACCCAATACCGGTCACCCACGGTCAAGACCATGAAGTCACCACACATTTAGATGATATCTATATGACATATGCAATGATATGATAGAAACATCGATATTTACTGGGACATAATAAGTTAATTTGAATTTCAGTTGTATTATTGTCTATCGTAAACATATTAAAAATATTAAAATTATTTTTCTGTTAAAATATACCAATTCCGTTGTTATATTCCTATTAACTCATGATAATAAGTATTAAATAACTAAATTTCACTGTCGAACGTAAATGAAACAATCGATTTCATTAGAACGCCAGATGGCTTGGAATTAAGAAAATAATAATAATAATTTTCTTATCAGTAAAAACCATAAATTTATGTTTAACTCGATTCTAGTATTAAGATTTTAATTTTAATTGTTTAGTTTCATCTTGAATTCCTAAATACTATACAAATATTTCTCTAATAGAAGTTTGTTTAAGTATATTTTACTTATAGATTGGTCAGTACGTTTATTCGGCGACCATAACACTGGTCCGACAATCTAGGTGTTTTCTCAATAGAGTGTTTTTTTCTTAAAACTGTTATTTATTGTGAAGTTACGGACCTACAGAACTAGCAATGGAGAGTGCATCGAGACCTAACGAGGCTCTTCCTGATAGCCGTTACTTTTGCCATAGTTGCGATGCAGAAATAGGAAACGTAACTGATGTATGTTATATAAATAAAATTATAATGATTTATGATTTTTATCCATTAACATACATTTTTTTTTAAGGAATACACTTGTCCGACATGTAATTTAGGATTTATTGAAAAAGTTGAAGAACAACAAACACCTGAAGAACCAGATGACGAAGATATGGAATTTCCAAATGCACACCACTATATGGTATTTTTATTTTTTATTTTCATAATGCACTTTAAGAAGTATACAAGGATATTTAATTAAATTTCACCATGTATTGTTATCAAAATTTACAATTTTACTTGTGTTTACTCTAAATTTTAAATTTATAATAATTTCACATTCTCTAGTTAAATGGTTATCAATCTTATCAAACATATTTCTTCTTTTTTTTGTTATATTTATCCATTTAATTCACTTTGATTTTAATAGTTCTGTAATTATTCTTTGTAATTTGGAAAAATTGTAAAGTTTATGTTATATACTTAGGTCAATGGAATATTAGGTGATAATGAAGTAAGTGGAAGACGGAGATCAAATATTCGTCGACGGAGATTTACAACAAGAGGTCCTCATGTGATGACATTACAACCTGGAAGGTATGCTATAATATAATTAAATCAAGTTGTTTCAATTTTTAAACATTAATAGTTAACTGTAATATTATGACTGAGCAAGATAAAACAGTTATTTTAAAAGTATAGTTACAGAGTTAAATCTTTTTACCAGTTGTTTCATTATTTTTCACTAAAAGAATATTCTGTTCTCTTCACCTAATGCATTTCACCTTTACAAAATACATTTGCACCTTAAAAATAAAAACCTACTATTTTTTTAAATATTTCCTAATAATTTATATTAAAATCTTTATTGTTTCAGAGGTCCAAGACGTAGTTCAGGTGGAACAATTGAAAATTTAGTAGAAGATGTCATAGTAAATTTTGCTGGTTATTCACAAACTGGTGGAAATCCAGTGTAAGACAGTAACCAATCTAAAAAATTAATTTATGTAATACATTTATTCTTTCGTGAATTTCAGCAGTAGATTTTTACTTGGTAATCCTGGTGATTATGTTTGGGGAAGAGATGGATTGGATTCTATTGTATCACAATTATTAAATCAAATAGATGGAGCTGGACCTCCTCCATTAACTAAGGAAAAAATACAAGAAATACCTACAGCACTTATTTCACAAGATCATTTAGGTAATAATGTCTTATTATTTTTTTAAGTATCTAAATTAAAAGAATACGTGGATGTGTTCTACATATATTATTATAATTAAATAGTTATTATTGAATTTGGTTGTGAGCTTACATTTAATTTTTTTTCTTTTATCTGTATAGAATTAAAATTTTTATAAAGCCATCTATATAAAACTAAAAAATAAATAAAAATATTTTGATTTTTAGATGTGAAACTCCAATGTTCTGTTTGTTGGGAAGATTTTACTATTGATGAAAAAGTTATGAAGTTAGCTTGTGATCATATGTATCATAAAGATTGTATCATACCTTGGTTGGAATTGGTTAGTTTTATTTATCAACTAAACTTTAAAAATAAAAGTTAAATAATTTAGGTATGGTGATAAAATAATTTATTGTATCTCTTATATGGGTCATATATAAATATATTGATGAATTTAATCTATATAATTTCTTCATAAATAATTATATGTACCATGTACATTTACCAAAAGTAATATTTATGTTATTTTTTGAATTTTCTTAATAATAATTTGGTTTTCTTGTCGTATGTGGTCTATTACCGTTTCTACTTGTCATATGCAGTCTACTACACATATTTATATAAAAATATGCATTAATGTATTTTAATATGTAGGTAAATTAGTGTATTAAAATATAATATGTCAAAAGGTATGTATTAAAATTAAAAATTTTGGTTCGTTCTTTTCTTCTTCGCAGGTATAGAATTTAGTTTACGAGCCACAGTAAAGAGGACTGTCGATTTAATTTAGTCCTCTTTTCTTTAAAAAAAGCTATGATATTTTCTTCAATTGAACAATTGAATAAAAATGTTTGGTTAACATAATGCTTCAAGTGTTAACTATAGAATAATGTATCACATGTAATAGCATGTACTATATTGTAACTGATTTTTTTATACGTTTATGATTACAGTCACAATTATTGCTAGACTTGATTATTGAAGTTACATTGTTAAGATAATACTTAATGGCCGTTGAATCAATAGAAATAACCTAAAATATATATATTTAGGTGCATGGCAGGTGACAGGTTTGCGGTAGACTGCATATAACGTATAGAAACATGAGTGGTAGACAACAAGAATACTAATAATTTAAAATACTTATTATAAAAAATATAATCTATTTGTAAATTTTTTTGAAACAGAATTTGAATTCATCTTAAAAAAATTATAATTTTTTTCTCTAATATTTCAAAAAAAAACTATTAATTTACATTTTTAACATACAGAATACTTGTTGACAATTAAATGTTATTTTTTTGTTATGTTTTGTAACATATATTTCCACTAAATTTAACAGACTATTCGTTATTCTTAAAACGATAGTCAGTGTCTACTGATATAGTTATCTAGTGGAACCCATATTGACGCTGGTTAGACTCTACACTAGATACTTTAAAATTCCTTGATTAATATTTATATTTATGACGTGGGACTTTGAGGACTTGTCAATCTCGTAAAGTATATATTTATCAAATGTGCAGTAATGTTTATTAATTATTATACAAAATATAGTAATTAAATATATACACCCAATTAGTGGATTATAGCTCTGAATAATGTTTGTCAAATGGCAGGGGAACTTAATATTTAAAAAAATACTCAATATTGTTAAGTTGCTAATCGTGTTAGGATGATATTCTTAACTGATGGTATTCATGTGATGATTGATCATTGATGTTATAAGATGTCTCTCCTCCTGTTGTAGTTCAATATTGATTTTGATATTTGAGTTTATTCAGCTGAAAACTGAGAAATATTGACTTATGTAAAATAACCATAAAAAACTGAATATTATTTGTTTTATTTATTTATTATAAATTTAAACGGACTATGCCAAATATAATACATAATAATGATTGTATAGATTAATTAAAAATTATTGTACATATTATAGTTATACAATATAAAATTTAAGGTAATAGATCTAATATTAAAGATAATATGGTATACAAATAATAATTATTAAATATTAATAACCAAGTTTAGATATTCATTAAAAGAGACAATATTATAAAAGAACAAATTTTTATTATACGTGTTCATTTTCTACTTTTAATCAAATATTATTGTGTTTTAAATTGTTAATAATACCAAACATTACTTATTATATAAAATTTTTATTATAAATAATATAGATTTTACAATTAAGTTACATTTTTTAATTTAAATAGGTGTTAATGTACTATATTTTGTTTTCTAGCATGGTACATGCCCAATTTGTCGAAAATATTTAGCAGATGATGGATTAAGTTCAATTAATTCAGATCCTTTAGGAATCAGTTTAGGCGTTGGACCAAATTTAGCAGCACTTATTAGGTATATTTATTTTTAATTTAAATTTCAATCATTTTTTTCTCTTGAATTTATGGGTTTGACTTTTTTTAAATAAAGATTTGAATGTCATTTGATTAATTGAATATAATTTTAGAGCCCGAGGCTCGGGACAACGTAATAGTGATCCAGTATGGGGAATGAATGATTATGATATGGCTTCTACATCATCTGACTGGCCTACACAACTTGGTATTAGCTTACCACTTCCAATTGTGTCTTCATCAGCAACCCAGACTCCAGCAACTTCTGGTATGTCTACTTATTCATCTGTCACAGCTAGGAACTTGCGTGACCAACGGTTATCATCCGCATCTGCTGAAGTTGAACCAATGGAAACTGATCATGATCAAAATCTACCTGCAATGAATAATACGAATAATTCCTAGTCTTTTTTTATTATATTCAATTGTGAATTTAGTACAATATGAGGTCACTGTTTAATAAATAAAGATGAAATACATTTAATTATAACTTTTAACAATCATGTTGTATTAATTTATGTTTGTATTAACAAAAACTGAAAACTATTATTTTATTAATAACTAAAGTTTTTATATTAAAAAATATTCAGTTAATTATTTATTTTTACTTATATATGTATATATATATATACATACATAATTTCTTCAAATGTAAATCTGTAAAATCAGCATAATTCAACAATACATTTTTAAATCACAAGTCTTAACTGTAGTTCATTTTTGTCAAATTATTTAATGTATTTTATTGAAAACATAACAAAGCCTTTTATTACCTAATTGGTAAGTTCCAATTTTACCATAAATAAATGTTCTTATCTTTTTTTTTTATGAACATGTTTACTTATTTACTCTATGCATTACATCATATTTGCTAGTAATTCAATAATACAACCCTGAAATTTATACTTATAGTAAATAATGTAATGTATATTTTATGCTTTTAATATTATAATGGGCTAAATATTAGAGAAAGTATTATAAAAATGTGTATAGTGTACCAATCAATGCCAATCAATGTAGTTTTAGATTAATTTACCTAATATACTATGTTTTATATTTATTAAACAAAATAATTATACATATGTAATCAACTATACTATTTACATTTGTTTAATAGAAAGTATTATATAATGATTTGTTAAAAATATCAGTTCATTGTGTAAAATGTAAATTACATCAACCATAATAAAAAAAAATATTATTTATATTATTTAATTAATTCTTTAACTTAGGAAACTATAATATTAATAAAATATTTTAGTATTATTCTTATCTAAATAATATTTATGAAATGTTGTGTAGATGCTATTTTTATGTTAATACATTTTCAAAAATATAGTAGAGGCGCCCATCTAAATTTTATTCGGAGAAACAATAAAATTCAAATAAACATCTCTCTTGACAATTCATTCAAACTCTTATAAAATACAAATACTTAATTATAAATTATATAAATAAAAAAAATGTTAGGAATGTACTATTTTTAATCTATCAATTTTTCTCATTTGATATTTGGATTTGACGTCAATGAACTGTAGATTAAATACAAAAATACATATTTAATCTGTGTTCTTAGTATGCATGGAACGCATGGTACAAACTTTAAGTATTCTTAACAATCTTATCACCAATAATTTATGACACCTATGCTGAAATTTTTCAAAATAGGTACCTAATTCAGTATTTAAATATCTTGTGTACAGTAAAAGTATTGATTTTGAGAGGACCCAGCAGGCCACCATTGATATAACGACCATTAATGTGACGTAGATAGGTACTCGATATGTTAAGTAGGTATACTTCACATCAACTATGAAAATATTTCCGACCGTTTTCAGTTTGCAATATTTATTGCAATAAATTATTAATAACAATATTATAATATTATATAATGTTTGATATGTACTAACTACTACTATGCATAATGTAATAATAACCCTTTTTTGACTGCACGTTTAAGCATAGGCATATATCGAAACGTTCATAGGATTAAAGAAATATATACATCAATACATCAATCGTGGACACGAATATGTATTTGTAAATGTGTGATTTATTCACGAAATACCTATTCCATTAAATTAGATTTTGCACAACTTCCATGTAAGATACAGAGGTTTAAGATCGATACCAGGTCATTTAAAAAATATTGTCTCGTACGATTGAATGTTGACGCACAGTTTTCATCTTAATATTGAGAAAACTGCTTTTGTTTGGTTGCTCTTTCGATTGTTAATCAAACGAGCGTTCAATCTGGATGTCTCATAAGTTGTTCAGTTTTATTGGTGTGAATTAATCCAAGACTGGGTTCTTGAGAGTCTACACACCGCTAAGTCTTATTTTGGTACTTATTTGATAATATATAATTATTGAATCAATAGCCGAATTTCCGCTAAGTAAAGACTACAATTGACAAAAACGAACCGTCTATTAAGTTTGTACAACCAATTTCATTGATTTTACATTATATTATATTATTATAAAGTTAAAAATGGCCCATATGATGATTATCTATACTCCAGATGGCACTACATTGTCAAGGTGAACTGTTTTCAGTTACACATACGGTGTACACCACGGATTAAGTTGAACTATATTTATTTATAATTGTTTATCTTAAATGTTAATCCATGGTCACAGATATGTATAATACATACATAATACACCTACTTCCGAAGACAATCGAGTTGAGAAAAAATCTACCTTTATTGGAATTACCACACTTCTCATTATAGATGACTTAAGTATGAAACTCTGAGAATACCGGTAAGTATATAATTTATATAATTTATATAATTCAATTATATTTTAAGTGTTTATACGGTGTATATAAAAAAAAATTAGTTTGCGTGCTTGTTACATTTATAAATATTATTATGTAGTAACTTGTAATCAATGAAAGAAGTAAGCCATAGATAAGTATATATCATAGATAAGTAAGCACATAATAGATTCAATTTAATCTATTTTATGATGGGAATTCAGTATTTTATATCATCTATACTATTCTATATACCATGGTATATATATCGTAATCTTTAACTCCGCGATATTATTATTTGTTATCAATACACATATACTGAAATATTGCATATTTTAACATATAATGTATACATATATATATATATATATACAATATTTGTACTCAGCTTTTTTAATCCAAAAATATTTCATACAATTAAATTATAAAATTTTAATTTTATTGAACGAATAGAATTAATTTTGATTTACAGTAGCTTTCAAGTTGTATTTTATTTGAATCACATATGTTTTCTTAATTTAAAAAACTATTCAATTTTTTTTAAGTTTATAATCATTTATTGGTAAGTCATTTGTTGAAGGACCATCTTCTCAAAATTTTGTTACTATATTATTTTATAAACATAAAATATTTTGTTATTTTTATTAAATCTTATAATATCAAGTTTTATTCTCAAGGACTCCATGGTTAATATTTATAATTGTTTCAGTTTGCCTATATTTTTAAATGTTTTCATTTCATTATTTTAAATAGTATCATTAAATAAAATTAAAAATGTTATTTTAAATAATTGATGTATCTAATATATTATTATTTATCTTAATATAGTTATCAGTCATTGTCTTTTTAAATAAATATATATTTTTTAAGAAATATTTTATTTCCTCATTAGTTACTTTTAATTTGTTAGTTTGTGTGGTATTTTAGGATTGAAGGGTGAGGTTAAAAAACTAACTATCTTTTGTGAAACAAATTATCATTACTTGTTTGGAGAAAGTAAATATTTTCGTATCTTAGTTATGAAAAAATGAAAAAATGTTTGTTATACATGTTTTCCCAGATATATACAGTTTTTGAATGCTTACTTTTTTAGTGTTTATTAAAATAAAATAAATATATATGTATATAATAATTTAAAACCAATATTTCTCTATTTGTTCAGATTCTAAAATTAATTAATTTTATTTACACTTTAAAAATAATCTTTTAAAATATCATTTTTTTAATTTTTAGACTATAAAAGGGATTATTTATGGCACATCAATACTTGAAATAAAAATAAAATATTATTTAACTTTATGAATTTACAAGACTTTTCAATATTGTAAAAGCAGTGTGCTTAATATGTCCTATGGTGGAAGTAGTGCACAAGAAAATGATAAGAATGGTATGCATTTTATGAATAATTATGAAATAAATGTTTTTTTTTTTTAATTTGACTAACCACCTATCATTATTAACAGGATTTTCTTACATGGACGAAGTTCCAGTTAAAATTATTGAAAAATACAAGCCTCCAAAAAAGATAGCATTACCTAGTGTATTACAACACAAACCTTTTTCCAATGCACTGAAGCAGCAGGTTATACAATCTTCTATGTTTTGAATATTTATTTTTATTTTTTAACAGTGATGCCGATCTCTATGTGAAGGTATTGTATCTGCAATAGCTTATTTAGTTGGATGATCCTATGGTGGCCTAGGAATACATTGGTATTAGGATGACAAAAGTTATGGTAATTTGCATTTTGGATATAAGAATGTTTCAAAATTGCAGTTACAGTGCAATTTACTCTGAATTTATTACAGTGATACTCAGATTTTATTTTTATGCAATAACATACAAATGAAACAGACATCAGCACCACTGTTTTTTTAATCTACCTCATACTAATTTGTGTTGTTATATTATAATTTCAGTCATAAAATGTATTTTTTATTATTAATTTTTCTAAATGCGATATTTTTTTTTTAGTATGATTTTAGTTTAGAAAAAAATGTACTTGAAAAAATGGCTATATGGGGCAAAATACGAGAAGAAGCTCGAAGTAAACGCCAATCTAAAGCTACAGAATTCAAAACACAAAATTTTTTAGACATAGACAAGTTATCTATATCATCACAACCACAAAATACTCAAGTTTTACAACCAATACCTGCTCAACAAACAAATTTTAAGATGTCTTCATTTGACAGCATGCTCACTAAAAATATAAATATATCAGATTTTGAGTCTGATACATCCAGTCCATTTGACAATATGGAATTAAAAACTATTAATGATTTAGAAGAATTAGCATCTGTCCTAAAACCTACTTCTGTTTTCAACAATACTAACAGCAAAGATTGCCAGTTATCTGATTTAAATGTTTCTCAGCTTTATTCAACAACCACTTTTAATAATCATCAAGAAACTCTCGAAAGCAACAAATTTATGCACAGTGTTAATACACAAACAAATCAACATATTAGTTCTCTTACTACCTTTAAGTCAAATGTACTCGATGACATAAATAAAACTACTTTGCCACCTGTTACCATGCCAAATATTTTATTGCAACTAAAAGCTGATTTAAACGCTTTAAAGTATAATGATGAATCACCAGTAAGTATTTTAAATCTTGAAATTATTATTGTTATATAAATATTTTATTTTCTTCTTAGGATGATCCCCAAAAGTCTCTACCAAATATCACAACAAATGGGTCTAAATCACCTATGTGTTCATTTCCTAACCCGTATAGATCACTTTCACCAACTAGCCAATGTAGAGCTGATCAAATGCATCAAATGGGATTTCCTTTATCACGTGCCGCCCGCGCATGTAAACTATTTGGTAAAGACGAATCTAAGGTATATTGTTATATTATTGAAATGTCTTATATAAATATATATATATATATATATATATATATATATATATATATTTATGTAATTATCATTTTTAATTTCAAGGTAATAGAGTTTTTAATTCAAATACATTCCATTGAGGAGACCAGTGGCTATTCAGCTGATCGTGTAGAACAAGCGTTGGTGGTTAATAATTTTAATGTGGACCATGCAATTAAATTTCTTAAAAATGTTGATAGGCTGATTGATTTTGGATTTAGAGAAGAAAATATATGCAGTGCACTAGTTAAGTGTAATAATGATCCTGATAAAGCACTTGATAGTCTTGTGTCTTATTAAGAAAATATACACAAGAATAAATGATTAAAATTTTAAATAATCATGCATTGTGAAGAATTATAAATTACAGCCGAACTGATGTGGTAGATTTATTGTGATATATACTTATTACAAAATTTGAGATACAATTTTATTTAAATGGTATACATGTATAATCATAACTATTATAATGATCTTTTAATTTCAAGAAATATAATGCTTTTCACTGCTTATGTTCCTCCTTTAAATTGTGTAATAGTTTTCCAATATTTTGAACCATTGTACATAATATTATGTAAAATATAATAATATGTTATACATAATACATTTATACTGAATTGATATTATTATTAAGAAAAAATTAATATACATGTGTACCTTATGCTACTTTTTTTTGTTCAAATATGTGTTATACCTTTTAGCTTTTATTACTTATTATATTTTTTATACTATTTAAAATATATACTATATTTTCATCTATTGATCTTTTAACTGATAAGACTTATAAGCAAAGACTTATTTTGTTTGAAAATATATCAAATTTAATTAATATAAATTAAGGAATATTAAGCTAAGTTCACATGGGTCATGTGAACCTAGCCTTAGTGTTTTACAATAACATACTATATATTGGTACCAAAATTAATCTTCAATTTTTTATTTTGAACAATTATTTATCAATTGATGTATTTGATAAGCTCTAGGTTATTAATGTAATAGTTTCATTATTATATTTTCATAGACCCAAAACTATTAACTCTGTTAGGCAGCTAATAAGTACTTTTGAAACATCAACTAAGTAATACTAAGTTAGTAATACTTAATAAGTATAACTAACCAATTTATATTTTGCCTTATATTTTTTTGATCCAACTCCATTAAAGTTATGAGAACCTAATGTTAAATTTTGCTGCCTTACTGATTACACATCGTGTTCAGATGTTGATAACCTATTTATTAATATTATAACATAATGTAGTCAATAGTCTTGCATGTCACATATGCTGTGATAAGCGAGTGTTAGTCATACTTACATACATTTATATAGTAAAACTAATTATGCATTTATAAAGCTTAATGTTCATAGTAACTTCAAATATTAAATTGGAGACTTTTTGTGAATTTTTTTTTGACGTAGTAGCGTATCCAGGAAATTTTTTATGGGGGGGGGGGTCCAAAATTTTTATTTTATCTGATAATGGGAAATTAAAATACACTATATACTATTATTATACTATTTACTATTAAATCGTTGAATATGTAGAAATTTCAATGGAGGGGAGTCTGGACCTTAAAACCCCTCCTTGGGTATGCCCTTGTTTTGAGGTAGAAATTATCATATAAATCTTTAATAAATAATTAACTTAAAACAATTTCATGTACAAATTCCGGTTTGTATAAATCATAACTTTGTACAGTTCAACAGGTATGGGCCTTCGACCTTGCTTACTTATTATGTGAACTCATTGCAAAACTTAAATCGAAAATGATTTGTTATGAAAAACCACGTTGGATCGATCACATACTCAAAGTTGAATTTAATGTTTCGGGAAATTTATTTGACTTTATATTATAAAAATTATTAACTTATTCAATAAAAAATGTTTGGGTTTTAAATATTTACTGACTATGATATAAATAAATAAATACTTTTTTTTTATTATTTAATAAATTGCGGTAGTTGAGATTGGGTTGTGCATCCAAGGTAGTCAAGATCACACAAAAGTACCATTTTTTGTATATATTTTACCGAATTATGAAAAAATTTACCAGAAACTTTAGCTAAACAACTTTTAACTTTAACATTAACATGTAATAGTAAATTTTATATTCATGTATCGTAAAAGTTTATACATTTTGTTATAAAAAAAAAAAAAAAAATGAAATTTTAAACTAGTATTTAAGAAAATTTCAAGAACCAGAACTGGTTCAACTATCTCAATTTGTTCATTCATTTGCAAACATAATAAGCAAAGATTTTTTCATAAAATGTTTACAGAACGAATACAATAATAACAATATAATATTTTAATTAGTATATATTTATTTAGTTTGTTATTGCTATATGTTCCCTATTTAAAAATATAAGTTAAATCATAATAATAATCACATAATAACATCTATATAATAATATTAAGTATTAACCTCTTAACCAATTAATTATCAAACCAAAAATAAATAATGTATACATCAAAAGTTTTGAATAAAAGTAACAAAAAATAAAATTATAAAAAAAAAAAAAAATGATTATAATTAAAATGTTTAGCATAATATATATTATCATATAACACTTATTAATATCTACATTCAAAATATTGGGAAAATCATACAAAATTGTGATTGTCCTTATTTATTATGCTATAATTAGATTTATAACAAATATTACTTTAGATAAAAAAGTGAGTTCTAGTTTTTATATTAATAAAAAACAAAATATTTGTAGAATATTCTTTTTGATATGTAAGGTTATTAGGGCAAGGGTAATTACACTAATAGCGTGACACTAAATTTTGAAATTATTCATCACATGTTATTATTACACAGTAAACACTGTATTTCCAATGATATAAAAGTTTAATTTTAAGTTTAATCAATAATGATAAAACTTAGGATAAGTTAAAATAAAATGCAAGATTGTAATAGGAAAATAAAATGAAAATATTTGTGATAAATATGATAAATTTATCGAATGAATAATGACAAATTAAGTGTATATTATTAATTTACGAATATGAATTAATATAATCTATTAAATGTCAATGTTCATTTTATGTTAATTGATTTAAGAAATAAAGTATAATGAACTTGTATACTTATTAATACAACAACAAAGAAATATCATTTTTATTATAAATAGTTAAATTTATATTTATTTTGAGTTTAAAAACATCGAACCATTTAAAATTAAGATATTTAAGACAATAATATTTCATTACAGAAAATATAAAATAAATCTGTTCGAAAATAACTTTTTTTTTATAAAATTTAATTGTTTGCATATAAAACTAGTGATGTAGTTTCAAATGTCTACAAAAATTATGAGTTTTACTTAAGATAATAAACATTTTATAATAAATGTTAGTAGAGAAGTTACTTTATTGATATTTAACTTATCAAAAATTACCAGCATTTTGGGAATTGAAGAATACATATAATTACACCAATCAATTTTTTAACATAAAAAAACAAAAATTAAATTTACTTTTTTATTTGTGTATGTTCATCAGTAGTCATGGCAGTTACAAGCTCAGTAACAACTTTACCTAGATCATCTACAAAATATCAATAAATTAATTTAGAAATAATACATATAAATATATTTCAATGATTTACATCAAATAATAGTATTAGGTACAAACCTAGATTTTTCCATTTCCGTGAACAGCTATTACAATAATAAATAATTTTAGAGCAATAAAGTAAAAACAATTTTTAGTTAACTAATTAATAATAAGTTAGTTGCATATAATAACTTAGTAACTTCAAAGTTTTTGTTAGGAAGAAAAATATAAATATTTATTAATTATATTTTACCTGCCATATGATGCAGATTACCAACAGTGTGATGGGATGATGTTATTGGTGGAGGAGGGGGCCTCTCTAAAGTATTGCGACCATTATTTTCTGACCAATTCCCTAAAATATAACAAAATCATAGAAATTAGATTTATTTATAAATCTTTTCTATTATTGACCTATTTAATATACCTGATTTGTCAGAAGAATTTTGTAAAGGAGAATCACATGCTAATTGGGAAGCAGTCACTGACCTAGTTTGGAATGTGGCTGGCTAAAAATTTTTAAAAAATAATTAAAATAATAACAAGTGTCAAATTTATAAGAAATATATTTATTTAGATGTTCAGTCCTAAATTATTTGTTCTAGAATTAAACTACAAATTATACAAAAACTTAAGATAATAGTATAATATAACTATATGGCAGTCTTTAGTTCTATAAATGTTAAATTGTAGTTATTTTTTTGTGGTGATATTTTAAATAAATTAGAAAAACTATAAAATTAACATATAAAAAGGGATCACTTTAAAGAAAACAATACTACTAATTCAAAGCAAATTTAAGAATTATATTAAAATTTTAAGTTTAAATGAATGAAGAATGAACAAATTATAATATTTGAAAACTTATAAGATAAAATAATTTTCAAATAATCTGCAAAATTATCCAAAAATTTATAATTTAATGTACATTTCCAACTAAAATATAATTTATTCTTAAATGTTAATTTAATATTTTTATTTTCATTAATAGCATTAAAAACTTAAATATAATAAAAATAAAAATTAAATGACTTAAATCATTTATAAAGAAGTAACTAGTCCCATAAATTAACAAAATATTGGTTTTTGTTCTACATACTTCTTCTAATAATTGTCTAAGTCTTTGCAGTTGAGCTTCTAATTGTCTATTATGATCTTCCAGTATTTGCATACGTGCTTCTAAGCGACCTTTATGTTGGCGTAACATTTTAGCCTCAGATACCATGTCAACTTCACCATTATTATTGGGCACAATATTTTGTGACCCTTTGATGCCAGAACCAGTTTTTAATTTTTCATATTCTTCTTGCAAATGATTGTTTTCATCTTCTAATTCCCTAAAATTAAATATTAACACATATAAATAAATAAGGAAAAAATGCATTTTTTTAGGCTTACTTAATCATAGCTTCTAACTCATGTCGTTGATCAGCATCAATCGCAACCATTATTTGAACTGGACTTCGAGGGACTGATGGTAATGTTTCAGAACCACCATTTAATGATTGACAATATTGGGCAATAAGTTGATGTTCATCTTCACTGGAAAATTTTAAATAATTTTTTCAATATACTTTATTATAGAATGACAAAACTCAAATTCAATTTGATAACATTTATAATGAATAAAATGTATCTTAATCATAAGAGTTTAATCAGTATATAAAAGTATCAAGGTTTGATAAATAAAATACTGTACCCAAAAATGTAATAGTTTAATAATATATTACTTGAACTAAGTATAATTATATATGATGGTAAACTTACGAATCTGGGGTTGAATTGCTACGAGCTCTATATTCAACTTCAGCTAAACGTGAAGCATATAATTCTAAACGATTATGAACATCAGGTATAGTAGGAGTGTTGGAATGTTGTGGAGATGGTGAAGGACTTTCTAGAGCATCACCTTCTAATACTGATTGAACAGGTAAATAACCAACACGGGGATGCTTTTTGAAATAGCGTTTTGATTTGAACTTATTACGTAAAGCACGAGTAAAATCTCGAACATCTTCACCAGATGTTGTTGTTGTACAATATTCTTGCATAGGATGAGTAAGCTTGTGATGTTTGGCTTTACGACCAGAAAAGAAACACGATTGACACATATCAAAATTGAAACATTTTAAGCACCGATATCTGAAACCAATTATAGGATATGTTTTGCATATGTTGCATTTTGCTTGATGTTTGGCAGATTCAGCTTCAGCTAGTCTGTGTAATACGGCTAACCATACCATACTCTGAGGTTCTTGCTGTAGCCAAACCAAAAAGTGCATTGCCTAAAATAGTTTTATTTTAAATATTTAGTAAATATGAAATTTGTCTACAATATTAAATATCTATTCAATATACTCACTTCAATAACAGATTTGTCTTTTCCAGCTTTTTGGAAGCAACTTCGAACAGATGGTTCAATATTAGAACCACCAAATGAAGCTACTTCACCTAATTGACGTGGTAACTGTATACAATCATGCAATAAAAGTCCTAATTTGCGTTGATCTACTTGTCTATTTGGATCAGCTATTAGCCTAAATAAGTAACGGTATTTTTCTTCTAAATGACCTTTGCATAATAATACTAAACCAACTTTAAATGAGAGTACACGAATTTGACCAGTTCGTTGACTGAAAAAAATAAAATATAGTTTGGATCTGTATTTTAAAGTTATGAATTTTAATATTTTACCTGTCATAAACATTTAATAGCCAGTTTAAAGATAGGTCAAGACAAAGTGGAACATGAACTAAAGATGGATGTTGAGATGCTAGTGTATCAAAAATAGATCCTAATATAGTTAACATTTCGGACACAGTAATTAATTTGTCATTTTGAGCACGAAGACCATGGTTATCAAATGATTCTAAAGCAGCTTCTAGGGTCAATAAATCAACTAAAAAAAAAAATTACCAAAAACTATTATACATTTTTCGGCTTATACATAATTAGATAATTATATTACTTACGAGACATGCGTTTTTGAACAGTCCGTAATTTCATGGCAGTTCTATAAGCAGAGAATCTTACTTCATTGAATTCTGATAATGAAGACATCAATTCCAACATTTTTGGATGATCCCAGTTTGTAGACTCACATTGATGACTAATTAACAAATTTGATATAGTTAGAATGTAATCCATAAAAGAAACACGATTTACACATATCAAAATTGAAACATTTTAAGCACCAATATCTGAAACCAATTATAGGATATGTTTTGCATAATACTTACTTAACATAATACGGTACTTTGTTGGGAGTAATTTCACGTTTCCATGGAGGGTCCACTGATCCACTCAGTAATAGAGAAGTAGAAGCCTCAATATGACTTGCTGGGGAAGTTCCATTACTGTTGTTAATAATGTTTTTACCAGTATCACGAATTTGTTTATATCTATCATCCATAGCTAATTGCAAAACTTTCCACCTAAAATAACATAAAATATAATATACAATTTATAATAAAATATATTATAAAAATTATAAAAATCATGAATACTTAATTGAAAAAATTACCGGTTATTAATATCCTGTAAAGTGATTTTATTGGATGCAGATATTGTAATATTGTTTGTTGCGAGTATGCTAGCTTGATCATTTACTTCTTCCAATAATCTTTGTACAGGATTAAGTCGGTCTCCAAATTGCTATAACAAATTTAATTAATTAATTTAGTTGTGTTAATTAAATTATTCACTTATGATATAGGTACCCGTAGTTCTTGAAGACGTTTTGTAGAGTCACTAGTACCAGAGACTGGCCATGTCTTATACATGGCCTCAACACTAGCTAATTTTGAAGTACAATCTTCTAGACCTTTCTGGAATAACTGCATTTTCTATAAGTAATGAGAAGAAAATGATTGAAGTACAAATAAATCAATATTTGGCTCATTTAGTAAAATAAACAGAATAAATCGATTGGCCATCAGATTTGGCTACTACTCAAGCAACAAATGGCTATTGTATAAAAATAGTTTATTACCCAGTTCTGAGGAATGTGTACTCTAATACATATTCACATGGTTCCTATTTTTATTTATTTTTATTTTCATAAAAGTATCAATTATTTTTTAAAATTAATAGAATAAAAATAAAAATAAATAAATAAATATATTTATAAACTGTTAATTATAAAAAAAGTTAGACTATAGTGTATGTTAAGCTATTTAAAAAATAAATAAATACACAGATAATAAAATATAGTAGATATAAACAGTTTAAATGTATTAATCATGAGTATTTTAAATTAAATATTTATAACTTATCAATATTATATTTTTATTTTATAATTATGTGGTTTTCGGTAAAAATTGTGTAATTATGTTGCAACTGATATCAGAAAAATATGTACCTTAATAGAGTCATTCAGGCTTCGTTGCCACTGATCCGAGCGCTGAAGTAAAGAATTCCATTGTTCAGAAACACGAGTAACTTCACGTTTTAAACTTATTGTTAAATCACGGGCTTGTTCTTCAGCACTACGATATCCTCTAGAATCTCCAGTATTGTTAATTTCTAAAAACAAGTAAATTAAATATTATAATTTATAATTAAGTACTTATCAAGTTTTAGTAAAAAGTTATATTGAGATTTATCTCACAAAAAATTTGATTTTATTAACTATAACAATTTCTGTAGAATTAATGTAAATACGCTACTAATATATGTTACAGTGTTACTATTTTTTCAATTGGTCAACCCAATGATATAAATTGCTAAAAAATGGTAATAGATCTAAAATCTATTAATATTATCGAAAAAATTAAAACACTTATACAAATCACTGATAGTATTGTTTAGAATTCATATTAAAAATGTAAGAATTATAATACAAATATGTACAAAATTGTATTAGTTTGCACAAATTACAGTTGAATAGAATTGCCCACGTACAGCATCCAGTATTTATTTAAAGAATTTAAAAATTCGACAGTAAGCCATTTTAAAAATATTATAGGCTATAATTGCTGTTAACTTTCTTCTTAAAAGTTATTCCATGAAATGTGAATTTATTTTATTTAGTCTGTAGTGTTTATGAACAAAGAAAACTACGTTTACATAAAATCAAGAAGTAATTATTGCTAGATTTAAATGATATAGAATATTAGTTTGAGATAAATAATTACTATTTATTTAAAAATATCTAAGTTTTTACTTTTTTATTCATGAAGATCTTGAATATACAAAGATATTACTTAATTTATATTTATGTGTCAGAAAAATTTATACTTAAGTGGATTTATATATCATTTCGTTCGAGTATTTCAATTCATGTCAATTAAAGTTGACCATGTTCAAATTAATAATCAATTCTTTTAAAAAGTGGTTACCAAACCATTGTAAATGTGACTGTTGACTGGAATCCCGTATTCATTAATAATTATCGTATAAAATCCGAGCATGTAAAACTATGGCAGTACTATAATTAGTTGTTTAAATTACATAATTAATGATAAGTTTTTATTCAATAAAAATAGTACTTGCAAATATCGAAGATTTTACATTAGTTGTTCACTTTGCAGTTAGTTAAAATTTAATAATAAATACGTATTTTAATAATCATTTTTGTAATCATACAATATTTTTTACTCATATGTAAATCGAAAATAATAATAGTTATATTAAGATCAATAGTCTAAAGCTCTAAAACAAAAATTACAATAATAAGAATTTATTTAATTATAATTTTAACCAGCTAAAACACATTGATGAATTATTTTAATTTTTATAAAACAATTAAAAAACGAATTGTTAATTTTACATTTTTACGGTTAGTCTTTTTTTTTATTCTAAATAACTACTCTATTTCCAAATTTCTAATAATTTTTCAGAAAATTTAAGAGCAATAGAAAAATGAGAGGAAAAATAATGAAAAACCAAGTTCAACTCACGACAGGAAAGTATCATTATTTCTATTGAAGAACTTTTAATAATTACATAGATAATATGAATCCAAGAATTTGCAACACGTTATAAACGTATGTTATAAACGTAATATAAAATTAAAAAATGTATCAACTAATTTTGAATTATATTCAAACAATATATAATTTTGAATTTGTCTTTTTATTTCATAAGATTTTTAGGATTTCAATTTAAACTAAAATATTTAATAAAATGTTATGTCATTAATTCAAATAACCAACTAAAAAACAATTATTAATATTCAATCACGGAAAATATAAATACAATACTGTTTTATTACTAATTTGTGGACAGTTTTCAACTTTTTTGATATTCACTATTCAATTTGTAATTTTAAAAATATTTTACATAGTAATTTGATCATACATACTCGTAAAATAATTAAAACATGTGAAAATTCGTTTTTAAAAAAAAAAAATATTAACAGTTTAATTACATAAAAGATTAATTTTATCCATTCTATACTCTAAATATACTTGTATTACTTTAGTAATATTATTTATATTATTATTCTTACCTTCATTTTTTACAGCTGATACAATTTGAGATTCATTATTTATGTATTGGCGACTGCTGCGTAGGTTAGAATCAATAACTGGTCTCTTCTCTTCCAATTGTCTACGGAACCCTCTATGATCATCCTAAATTACATTCAATATTTTTATTCAGTAAATTCTAAACTAAAAAGCTAATTATTTATATACCTGTTGCTTTTGCAAAGTTGTCAAATCGTTTCCTAATGGACCAAAACTTGAAATTTCTGTGTCTTTTTTAATAATCCATTCAACTAGTTCTCTTAAAGATAATAAAAGAGTATTCCAATGTTCCGTATTATTTTCTAATCTATTTCTAAAAATATAAATTAATTTTGAATTACAAATTACAGATATTGTAAATTATAAAGTATATATTTTCGATTAATACAACATAAATTCGAACACGTGTGACTGGAAAGGGACAGTAATATGCAAGGATTATAGAACAAAAAACATTATTCTTTAATATTAGTTTCAGAGTTTTATTATTAACTGAAAGTTCCTAACAAAAACCAATTGCAAACGTTGATAATTTTATGAGCTTAACTTAGTACCCATAACGCGAATAAATCATTCAAAAGGTCACACTATTCCTGATGCATCACGAATTAAAAGGGGGAACTAAATATGATTCTAGTCCAACGGGACTGCTTCAATATCACAGTTTCAGTACTATATGAGCTTCTTGGGAATTATAAATTACAATCATATAATATAAATGAAAGTTAACAGGGTGTACATATCCCTTGGGGTACAAGTAAAATGACAGGTTCCAATTACCCTCCACCCTTAAAAAAGATATACATATGATACAGTTCTAAATTTATCATATTTTAAAGGTTAGACATATTATTTTACATTTCAGATACAAATTATACACCTTATAAAAATCCCTAGCTACTTTTAGTTATGAAATTTAAACTATTGATAATATACGAATGAAATAAACAAATGAAAATTATATAAATACCTTATATTAACAGAACGATTTTTTAGTTGATTCCAACGCTGATTCATTTCTTCTAATCGTCTCTGAAGCATTACAGCATCTTCTTGAGATGATAGATTTCCTAGAAGTTTTCTTCCGCTTGTGTCAAGAGAGTTTAAAGATTGACTTTTTGTTTCCATTTCTTGCTGAAGTTCCTGAGACAAGATTATTATTATCTAATTATATTTATAATTGCAAGTTGTAATAATATCAAAAAATAAATATTATAATAGGTCATAAGAATATTTAAGTTTCTGTAATATTTTTGATTAAATATAATATGATTTCACTTTCAAAATTAAATTAATATTACATTTATTAAACGTATTTATGTTTTAATAATAAAATAACAAAATAAATATTACATCTTTATTCTTTAAGTTATAAATTTACATATTTACATTAATGTATTTGACATTATATTCTTCTACTTTAAAGTTCTACCTATTATAATATACTTGAATGATAAAGTTGATATTTTTTAAAATCAATTAAGTAATTACTTTACTAAAGTTTAAACTTATTATTATATATTTTATCGTTAAATAAAATAAAATTATAGTAATTGTTGCTTTTTATTTTATAAATTACATTTTTTCGATAATAATGGTTTCTTTTCAAATTTCTAAGTCACTAAACACCGTACTACAAGTTAAATGTGAAACTCGATCAATATATACCAATCATGTATATTTTATACAATATTATTTTTATAGCTAATTTAAAGTATAAACGTATAAACTTTAAACAAATCATTAAAATCTAAAAACATAAATCTACGAATGGTTAAATGTTAGAATATGCAATTATTAAGCCAACAAAAATATTGGGTGTCGTAAGAGTTAGTTATATACAACTCGATCGTTTATTATTATATTCATAGTATTAAGTTTAAAACAATAATATAGATAAAGTCAATTTGAATAAGTATTATTTTTATTATATTCTGTCAACATTACAGTTAATTGTTATGTAAAAGTTTGAAAACGACAAGTATACTTTTAATTATTCTATAAAAACAAAAAAATTTTAATAATCTTTTTTTATAGATATATTACATAATCATATAAAATATATAGTGTTAATTGAATTAATAATTTTCATCCGTGGACCCAAGTATCAAAAAAAAAAAAAAAATACTTACAGTACCTACCTATATATTGTAAATAATAATTACAATTAATGAGAACATTTTATACTATTTTCCAATTGAATTATAGACGGTAATATAATAATAGTGTTATATTTTATTTAAAAGAGAGGAACAATGCATCTATTAAATGCTTTATGCTCATTAAAATTGTTCTTGCAAGCTTGTAACTTACCAAAAGGAAAATATTTTCTCATCAATATTGATCATAAGTTTTTTCAAATATGAAAATTTAAAATTTGCACACAGCCCGTGAAGCCAATCAGATAAAGGTTAATTTATTATGTCGATCACGCAGAAAATATAAACTAGCAAGTGATAAAGGAAACATACCGCAAAATAGACTTAATTAAATTTTAACTCGACGTTGCTGCATGCAGCCGTACTATCCTCACGAGAGTCATAACACAACACCACACGATTTCTGGCGAATCTCTTCTGTGTTTTTTATAAATTCTTGTTTTTTACAACGCACTCTTATTCGGAAAGAATATTACTTTTCACTAATTTTTTTTTTTTTTTTTTTTTTACGTCCAATATAATTGTGAAATATATGTGAACAATAAAATATTTTTGTTATATGATAAAAACCAATGTTATGAATAAATATACGTCATGTACAAAAACACTTCTCAAACATTTTATTTTAGGTGTGTAAAGCTAACGTTGTTATTCCTCCCCGTTGTGGGTTGTCTCAAATAGATTTAGTATGAAACTGGACTAAAATTGAGTTATAAGTAATTAAATCATGTAGACGAATTAAAAATGTTAATTAAAACTAAAATTGCCTATATTTATAATTAGTTTACGAAAATAAATTAAAATAATGAAATTTCTCTTTAAACTGAAATTAAAATACTCGACAATTTGGTAATTGAAAATGAATAAATAGAACATTATGGTAAAATAAATAGATTATTTCCTTTGCTTAGAATCTAAAAACGACATGTTTTCCACATTTGTATATCACTGAAATTATATTTATTGTTATTTTTTTTTTGTAATCATCTTTATTACATAATTAATTTTGCAAATTAATGCAATTATTACGATAAATTATAATTTTAATTTCAACTTTAAATTATAAAATATCAACAGAAAAAATATATATTTCACGAATACCGTAGGTAAAATATTTTTAACATGAATCATAAAATAATAATTTTTAAATATCCGTTAACAGTTAATTTGTTATTCTATTTTAAAAAGTGAATATTATTATCATTTATAGTTTAAGAAAATTCAGAATTTAAAATCGATTCAGATTTATATTCGTTAATTTTAATTCATTAAAAGTTCGGTATTATATTTATCAAATCCATAATTTTTTACACTTCTACACTCATAATAATTTATCATTAGATTTTGGTATACACGGATACAAGATTAAATATAAGGAATTATTAAAAAAATCTTTAATAATCTCAATATTTAATATCGATAATATAAACTAGATATTTATAATAAAATAACTTGAAAAAAATGACAAATCTATACACAATGTAATTACAATGTATTATATACATAAAAAACTTTCAAATCATTAAACTTTAAAAAAGAAATACTGACCAAATAATTAAAGTTTGATTTTTGAATACCTATATAATTTTATAATATTTACTACGATCGATAAAACAATTATATTATACAACAAATAAGCTAAAAAGCTCCCATGATTAAAAATGTACTTCCATAATTGATTTAAAATATAAACTGTAAAATAAAATACATTATACTAAACAAAATATGATAAAAAATAGTAGTAGTTGATGCTTAAAACATATACTAATAAAATATATGTTTCGATTTTTAAATTGCCACAATTAGACTAAAAAAATGAATGAATAAAATTAAAGAGTAACTTTTATCCATAGATGTGCAAAAGATTGAAATTATAATAAAGCTTATCTTGCAAAGATAACCTTTTGAAATGATACCCCGTCAAATACCATTCATTGTATAAAAAAGAACGTTTAATACGGGAGTTTATAACAATGAGGTCGGATGCTCTTGTTGAGAAACCTCTTGTTCGCTTCTGGCATTGATTAAAAAAAAATTCAGAGTACAATTATAGAAAAACGCAGAGACAAGCGAACACATGCTCAAAGTGCATTGTTTATAGGATTGGGCTCATTCATTTTTCCCATATTTTCCTTGTGTAATATGCATATGTACTCCCGTAGCACTTCAAACGATATTAAGTCAACGTTGAAATGTTTTATTCTTAGATTTATCTTTTCATTGACGTACAAATACATTTTAATTCGTGCGCATATAAAGATATATGTTTAATCATAATAATTATAGTAAGAAATATTTTATTCAAACTATAATATTCAAATATTTCAAAACAATAGGTTAACATTTAAAAAAATGTATTTAAATTAATAATAAAAAATAATGTACATTTTATTATATTATTAATTTCTTAGATTTTATAAGTTAGAACTTATAATCTATAATATGTAATATGCATTTATGAAATAAAATATCAAAATTATCAGTACACAAAATATAAGATGTATGAAAACGAAACTTAAAGAGTATCGTTTATATTCAAGGTATCAATCAAAAACAAAACTAACAAATTTTCTAATCAATCACTATAATCGAATATATCAATCATTTTGAATTCTTCTAAGTCGAATAAAACAAGGTTTCAATCAGATTTGACAATTTGTAGTACCCGTGAAAATAGGTTTTGAAATATTTAATAATCAAATAGAACTTTTATCGTTTTACTTGCAAAATGTAAACCAAAAACCTAAACAAAAATCAAAATTCTTAAACAGAATATTTTATTTGGGGGATATTTTCTAGTACAAAATTGGGTATGCATGAAAAACAGAATTTGTAGCTTGAAATAAATTTAAAACCTCTATATTTTAATGATCGACCTTTTTGTAATAAAAAAGTTTACCTTTAGGTTAATGTTATTTACGAGTCAAAGCATATGTTGGTAAATAAATTAAAAAATGTATTTTAATAAGAACTAGTAAATTTTAATGAATACAAAATAAATAATGAATATTTTCAACTTAATATATCAATCTCAACGTAGAAGGAAAATACTAATACTTCATTAATTACCATTATTTCTAAAAATAATAAATCGCATTTTTAAGATTGGCATTGCAATTAATCAAATAGGATTAAATGATTATTTATTTATTTTTAAATTTTTCTCACAAGGATCAGTGTGGTTTGACAACAAACCATGGTGAATAATGAACATAATAGTGACAAAGTTCTGTAATCTTTAAATAATAATTATCAAACTTTGAGAAGGACTTGAAGTTTAGAAAAATAACCAGAGAAGCTAAATATTTCATTAGACAAATACGGAAAAAGAAAATAGTTTTTTTTTTATATATGTTTTCCTGGCATGATTTCCCGACGAAACGTGAAAATGCTTTCAGCCCGGTCGGCCATACGATATGTATTATGCAAATTCAACGTAGAAAAGCGAATGATTTGGAAGTAGAGCATAAGTCGAATGTACTACTTATATGTATACCTTACGAATAAACGTTTTATTGAGTTTGAAATTTAATATTTTTATTCGTTCCTATTTTCAATTTGAGATAAAATCGAGTAAAAAAAAAAAAAAAAAAAAACCCCTAGCAAATATTGTAAGACACCGTATATAATATCTATAGAGTTATAATTTTTTTTTAAAATCACCTCGAAACGAAATTACATGACACGCATAAATATAAATTACATGGTACACTAAAATCAAATGATATAAAGGACAAAAGGTATACGATAATTTTTAGCGATAATACACATTTATAAAACATGGACGTAAGACGTTAAATGCATAATATATTATAATTATTTCATCCACGACAATGGCAAATAGGGTGAAGAATGATATTTTTGCGGTATAGGCAATTTCATGATATTATTTTTTAGACGTATAATGTAATCCTCTATTACACGATTGACTTGAAAATTACATTGATTCTTAAGATGACTGTGTTTTTAATTATACGTTCAATA